CCCCCCCCCGAGCCTCACCTCGCCCCCCTGGTGCTGCTCCAGGGCTCCGGTGCCATAGAACTGCTGCAGCACGTCCTGCACCCTCCTGCTGCTGTCTGATGGGGGGGGCCATGTGCGTGCACACGGGTGTGGAGCCGGCTCAGCCCACTCGCACGCGTGTACACGCATGTCCATGCCCCCCCCCCATCACTCACAGTCCATGTACTTCTGGAGCTGGGCGAACTCCTGGGGGCTGAGGGTCGCCCATTCCCGTGTCTCCTCCATGAGTGCACACGCGTGTTCTTGCGTGTTCTTGCGTGTTCTCCTGTAGCCTATAGCGGGGCAAGAGGGAAAAGGGGGGTGTTGGGAGCATTCTTCCCTTTTCCACCCCCCCTAACCCCTTCCCACCCCGTCCCCCATCACGTCTACATGCCATCGTCATGCAAACATGCCAACGACACGCGTGAACTTTGAACCCCGAAGGGACGGGGTGACCGCGCTTGCGAGGGGTCCCCAAACCCAATCCCCCCCCCGGCCACACGCTCGGTCCGTACCAGCCGTTGGTTCCGGGACGTCCCCGTGAGTGACGTCACGGCCCGACGGGGCGGCACCGGGGCGGGCGGGGAAGGCGGAAACGGGGGTGCGGGGGGGGGGAATCCCCATTCTACCAACATGGGGGGGGTTCCCCGTGCATCCCCCCCTTTTCATACTTACCCCCCCTTCCACACTCACTCTTCCACATGTGGCCCCCCCCCTTGCGTGTTTCCCCCCCCCACGGAAATCCCCGGTGCCGCCTTAGTTCATGACGTGGGGCCACATCCCATGGGGGGGTTCCTTGTGGGGGGGTCCCCATGACGTCTGTGTGTCCGCATCCCGGCACCAGGTCTGCATCCTGGCTCCTGAGACTTAGAGCAGCGGCTGGATGCTCCCTGTTAGAGAGCTCCGAAGGGCTCCGGGGAGACCTTAGGGCAGCTCCGGTGCCTAAAGGGGCTACAGGAAACCTGGAGAGGGGCTTGGGAGAAGGGATGGAGGGGCAGGACAAGGGGAATGGCTTGAACCTGCCGAAGAGGAGGTGGAGATGGAATATTGGGAAGAAGTTCCCGGCCAGCCCAACCCATTCCGGGATCCCACGTCCTGCGGTCGGGCTCTAGGACCCAGCGGGGCCGGGGGCCAGTGCCGAACCGAAGCGGTGACGGACCTGATTGAAGCCCGCGGTGCCGCCCCAGGCTAGTGTGTGCAGGAAGGTCGGACCTGATTGAAGCCCGCGGTGCCGCCCCAGGCTGGTGTGTGCAGGAAGGTCGGACCTGATTGAAGCCCGCGGTGCCTCCCCAGGCTCGTGCATGCGGGAAGGTCGGACCTGATTGAAGCCCGCGGTGCCGCCCCAGGCTGGTGTGTGCAGGAAGGTCGGACCTGATTGAAGCCCGCGGTGCCTCCCCAGGCTCGTGCATGCGGGAAGGTCGGACCTGATTGAAGCCCGCGGTGCCTCCCGAGGCTGGTGCGTGCGGCAAAGTCGGACCTGATTGAAGCCCGCGGTGCCTCCCCAGCCTGGTGCGTGCGAGAAGGTCGGACCTGATTGAAGCCCGCGGTGCCTCCCGAGGCCGGTGCGTGCGGAAAGTCGGACCTGATTGAAGCCCGCGGTGCCTCCCCAGGCTGGTGCGTGCGGGAAGGTCGGACCTGATTGAAGCCCGCGGTGCCTCCCGAGGCTGGTGCGTGCAGGAAGGTCGGACCTGATTGAAGCCCGCGGTGCCTCCCCAGGCTGGTGCGTGCGGGAAGGTCGGACCTGATTGAAGCCCGCGGTGCCGCCCCAGGCTGGTGCGTGCAGGAAGGTCGGACCTGATTGAAGCCCGCGGTGCCTCCCCAGGCTGGTGCGTGCAGGAAGGTCGGACCTGATTGAAGCCCGCGGTGCCTCCCCAGGCTGGTGCGTGCGGGAAGGTCGGACCTGATTGAAGCCCGCGGTGCCTCCCCAGGCTGGTGCGTGCGGGAAGGTCGGACCTGATTGAAGCCCGCGGTGCCTCCCCAGGCTGGTGCGTGTGGGAAGGTCGGACCTGATTGAAGCCCGCGGTGCCTCCCCAGGCTGGTGCGTGCGGGAAGGTCGGACCTGATTGAAGCCCGCGGTGCCTCCCCAGGCTGGTGCGTGTGGGAAGGTCGGACCTGATTGAAGCCCGCGGTGCCTCCCCAGCCTGGTGCGTGCGAGAAGGTCGGACCTGATTGAAGCCCGCGGTGCCGCCCCAGGCTGGTGCGTGTGGGAAGGTCGGACCTGATTGAAGCCCGCGGTGCCTCCCCAGGCTGGTGCGTGCGGCAAAGTCGGACCTGATTGAAGCCCGCGGTGCCGCCCCAGGCTGGTGCGTGCGGGAAGGTCGGACCTGATTGAAGCCCGCGGTGCCTCCCCAGGCTGGTGTGTGCAGGAAGGTCGGACCTGATTGAAGCCCGCGGTGCCTCCCGAGGCTGGTGCGTGCGAGAAGGTCGGACCTGATTGAAGCCCGCGGTGCCTCCCGAGGCTGGTGTGTGCAGGAAGGTCGGACCTGATTGAAGCCCGCTGTGCCTCCCCAGCCTGGTGCGTGCGAGAAGGTCGGACCTGATTGAAGCCCGCGGAGCCGCCCCAGGCTGGTGCGTGTTGGGAAGGTCGGACCTGATTGAAGCCCGCGGTGCCTCCCGAGGCTGGTGCGTGCGGCAAAGTCGGACCTGATTGAAGCCCGCGGTGCCGCCCCAGGCTGGTGCGTGTTGGGAAGGTCGGACCTGATTGAAGCCCGCGGTGCCTCCCGAGGCTGGTGTGTGCAGGAAGGTCGGACCTGATTGAAGCCCGCTGTGCCTCCCAGCCTGGTGTGTGCGGGAAAGTCGGACTGATTGAAGCCCGCGGAGCCGCCCCAGCCTGGTGCGTGCGGCAAAGTCGGACCTGATTGAAGCCCGCGGTGCCTCCCCAGGCTGGTGCGTGCGAGAAAGTCGGACCTGATTGAAACCCCCGCGTTGATTCCACTGCGTCCGACCCCGTCCTGTATGAAACGTTCTATAGGAACCCACCCCAAATGCCCCAAACTTGCTCCAATCACCCAAATCCAGCTCAAATTGCCGCAAGCCCCACCTGAAAGCTGGCTCTCAGCGTGCAAACGTCCCGCCCATGCTCCCACAGCGCAGTGAGCTCGGCAACGGTGCCAGCAGAACGGCAATCTGCTCTCTGTTTGCTACCTGAAAGCTCATTTTCTTCCTGCTCCTGTTCTTAGTTATCTTTCAGTCCTTTGATGGCAATCATAGAACAGAGATAAAACAACTCATTAACTCGGTTATCTCTACATGCAAGATACGGCTTGGTCTTCCCAACTGCATGAGCTGTGCTAAATGCATTCTGTGCAACTCGGGCAGCTTTGCTGTGTCACTCGTTGCAGTGCAGATTAACCACTAGCACTTAACTGCATTTAATAGCTTTTAATTGCTCTGCCCCAGGTGAGCCCTAATAGAGGGAAGGGAGGGCTTAAAGTCCTAATAAAGGCTGTTCTGCCGTGATGGCACCGGGGCGTTTTGGTGAGCGATGGGAGTCCTCCTGTCCCGTGAGCTGCCTCTTCCCTCTAGTGGCAATAAACCGGATGCAACATCAGCATCCAGCGGCACCGTTCGGCCGCTTCATTAACAAACCCCGTCGTGACACCTTCATGCCTCCAGCTTGCGGCATCTGGAGAACGGGAACAGTGGGGGTGGCTCCGTGTGAAGCAGTTGGATGCGTCTGGAGCACCCAGTAGAGACGTTTCCAATGAAACTCCCGGCTTTTAAGGGACCTCTTGCGGTGTGATCTAGATCGGAGGGAGAGCACAAAGTGCTGAGTTTAAGCACAGGTAAAACGATGGGTTTTAAGGTCTGCTCAGTGTTCTGCCGTGGAGATGGGATCTCTGCCATCTGATTTAACCACTTATCTCCGTATCTCCTGTTTGGAAGCATTAGAGGTTGAGCATCTTTCTCTTATTCCCTTACTTGTTTGCATCTTCTGTTCCCTTTCTTCCCTCTGCCCCAAAGCCTGGCTCACAGACCTTTTGCCACAAGTGGGTCCAACTGGAATGCTCTACAGCCACAGAGCTCCACCCTGGAGAACAGCTTCCCATTCCATCTTCATGGACGATGGTGGCTGTTACTGCATCACTGCACGTTCCCTGATGGGCACAACTTCGGGCTGCATGAGAGGCAAGATGGGTGCGCTCTTATTCCCTCTTCCCTGGTCTGCCTTGGTAAGAGCGTTATCACTGCTCACCCTCTTGAACTGGCCTATTTATTCCTTTAAGCACCTTGCTTAAAGATACCTTATACAAACTGTACTAACACCCTCGGGGCCCCAGCGTGTCCTTGAAGTATTTCTGGTGCCAAGGTGCCCCACACTTCCCGGCAGCTCCGGGGTGTCCTACTTGGAAGCTTGGGTGTGCTCCTGCGCTTCCAGCACGGAAACCGCCTCAGGATGCGGAGCTTCCCGCAGCAGTTTGATTGCGCGCTGGTGCTTTCCATGAGTTACGGCCCGGGGTGTAACCACGTAGGCACAGATTCTGGGTATAAAGGAGGGGTGCTCAGTCACTGGGAGTTTTAACTTATCCCAACGCTGTATGAAGAGGAAGGGGGTGGCCGACACCGCGTTTTCCTCTGGCTCTTGTCTTGGATCACACTCTGTGGGTTGGTTATGGGACTTCGGTGCTTATTTCCACATGGACGCTCCTCAGGCTGTGCCTAAGCAAAGCCGGGAGCTCCAGGGGCCGGGAATGACCGATCCCGAGCTCCGGAACGAGGCACGGGTGCGATTTTCTATGGGCACCGCGATGCTGATGCTGGAACCCCGTGGTACCGAGGGTCCTATGGGGGGGGGGTGTCCCCGGCGCGCTCCCGCGCCGCGGAGCGCGGGAGAGGGCGGTATTTCCCGCGCGAGCGCGCGGGGGGGTTGTGGCGCGCCCCCTGGCGGCCGGCGGCGGCGGTGCGGGGGCCGGCCCCGCACTGGAGGAAGGCGGAGGTGAGGCGGGAGGAGCTGGGAGGGAGGGAGGGGGGGGGTTGGGGTTGGGGGGGGGGCAGCGCCGAGCACCGCACCAAGATGGCGACACCCGCAGTTCCTCCTGCAGCTCCCGCACCGCCGCAGTCCGGCAGCGCCGCGCGGGGGACGCGTTAGTGCAGCGGCCGCGGTAAGTGCCGGCGCCGGTGCGGGGACCCCCCCGCAGCCCCTTCCTTCCTCCCCCCCCCCCGCATCCTTGGGGTCCACTTGGGTTTAATCCCGCAACGCGTGCTCTGCCCCCCCCCACCCCACACCCCGGGCGGGGGCTTTGCCGCAGAGCGCTCGGCTCGCTCCGGGAGCGGTTCCCGGTGCAACCGGAGCCGGGCAAGGGAGAAGGAGAAGGAGCCCCCCCCCTCCCGCTTTGCCCCTCTCCGCCCTTCGCTCGCCGCGCTCCGGGAGCGGGGCCCCGGGTGTCCCCGCATCCAGCATCGCCCTCCCGGCTCCGTGCGGGGCCCCGGTGCGGGGGGGGGGGGAAAGGGGAAGGTCCCCACCCGTAGCCCCATTCGGAGGCCTGAGCCCCTATGGGGGGAGCTGCCTCCGGATGCGGCCTCTGCTCGCATCCCCTCGGCTTGGGGAGGACGCGCAGGGTCCCCCCATCCCTGTGCCCACCCTCGGCCTTGGAGCTCCGCTTGGACCACCCCATCCGTGCCTGCATCCCGGGGACCGGCGGGGCCCTTCTGGAGGCCCCCAAACTGGGGCCGTGCTCTTTGTCTGCATTGTGGGGAGGGATAACGGGAGTTCTCTCGCTATCCCTGACCCCCCCCCCAGCCGTAGCTGCAGCGCTGGTACCCCCCCCCCCCCCACCTCCTCAGCATCCCGCTGCGAGGGAGGGGGAGAAGTTGGAGGATGGAGTTTTTGGGGGGCATGGGGCGGCTTTGAGGCTCCAGCCTGACCCAGATGTTGGCGGCTTGGTTCCTGCTCCCGCTCCTTTCCCTTGGGGGGGCTGAGCTGGGGCTTTTCCCTGCCTGGGCACCGGGAACGGCTCCTTCAGAAGCTTTTCCCGTTAAAAATCTGGGTGTTTCATCCCCCCCCCCCCTCCATCCTGCCCAGCCAATGTGGGGGTGGGGAAGCTGGAATTCTGCTCCATGGCGGTGGCTGCGGATGATCCGGGATGCAGGGATGCGAGGGATGAGGGGATGAGCAGGGCACGGCTGCGTGAGGGCAGCTCGGTCCTGGGAAGCCGCTGGCTTTCCATGTGCTGGGAATGGTCCTTGGTGGGGGGGGCGCTGGTTGTGATGCTGCTGCTGTAGGCACGTATCCCGGGCCCTGGGACACTGCAGCATTGCACCCAGTGGGAACCCATGACCCGTATGTCCTCGTTTCACACCCGTGGTCCTGCAGCCCCCCGTGGCCTTCAGAGGGGGCTCAAAGCGCTCCGGCTCCTGGCTTGGTGAGGGAGGGGGCCTGGGATGTGCTGGTTTCCCGGCGTTCCCAATGGATGCTCTCCTGGAGAGCCCGAGGGGCAGCCCTGGGGTGGCGATGGGAGCTCTTCCTCTGCCTGCATCCCCATCTCGCCCTCTGGGAATGTTGTGTGCAGTGGATGGGAAGCGCCGGGAGCAGGAGCCGAACGGGCACCGTTCCGGGTGCCATTTTCCATACTGGTTCCTTGTGAGGCCTCTGGGTTGTGGTCACCATCTGTGGGGTGCGTGTGGAGAGCTCCCATCCTTAGCTCCAGTGGGGTTTGAACCGAGCACCCCCCAAGGGGGCTCTGAAGGGGCTACTTGACCCCTTTGGCCGTGTCCCGTCGCTCCCGTGGTGTCATTCATCCCATGTGGAAGAGCCCGGCCCTATTGCAAAGCATTTACCCGGTTATATAAGCTCCTATGGCTGGCTTGGACCAGGATCCCGCTGTCGATGCTGCACAAGTACAATGATGTGGGTATTTTGCCATCAGAGGTGGGAATGGGGGCTTCTGATGACCAGAAGGGAGAGCGATGGCGCGGTGCCGCACACTGAGCGTGGATGGAGTTTCCTTTGCAGCTAAAGGGGGTGAAACAAGGCAGAACCGAAAGCAGTGAGGATGGGAGGGATGGGATCACCTCCTCCTCTTTGCTTCTTGCTGGCTCATGGAACCAGGCGCCCACGTTAGCAATTGATGCTCCCTCTGGTTCAATGAGTGGGGAGCTGCTGGCCCCGGGACTCACCCGGGCACATGATTCCCATTCACTATCGATCCAAGCCATTGACATCAACAGAGGCACCAGCATCCATCATTTACTGCTGTGCTCAAAGGTTTGGGCTCAAAGCAGGGGGAAGAGGATGCAGGAAAGCACAGGGAGGAGATGGCTTGTGCTGATGGAGGGGGGAGGTCATTGCTGGTCATTGGATCCGGTGGGATTCAGAAGTAAATCAGTGCTTGGGACTCACCCCTTATGCCCTGTTATTGCAGTGCTGTGTAACGGGGGAGTGAGCGGTGGTTTGGTGCTGAGGTGCCCTAAAACCCTTCCTTGGCATCAGCTTGGCTCCAAGCTGGCTGTTAACACTGCTGCCTTAGGAAGGAGAGGAAATAGTGTTGTGAAGTTGGAGCTGGGAGGCGATTTCTGGCATTGGGATTGGAGGGAGGATGCTTGGAAGTCTTTCCTAAAGGAGCTGGGTGTTATCCTTGGGGATGCCTCATCCTGAGGCCGGTTGTGACCAACCCGAGTGGTTTAATGGGGTTGAAGCCATGCGGTGTGAGATGGATTTCACCTGCATGGGGAAGTACCCTGGGAACATGAGGTGGAGCATCAAACACTGCTCTTCCAATGGTGGTTCCAGCAGGAGGTGAACCCATCCGGTGCCATCAGGAGCAGGATGGCAGCGCTTGGACCACGAGGGGGGATTGCTTCACCTCCCCTTCGTGTTTATCCCATCTGTGGCCCTACCGTTTGGGTGCTCCATAAGGATCACCTGGAATCAGTTTCCTTGCCCCTGTCCTGTGGGTCTGAATGGATGCAGCAAGGAGTTAGATTTGGGTTAGCAGGGATAACGTGACCTTTCCTAAGGGAAAGGCTCCCTTTCCATTGCCCTCTTGCAGCCACACCGGAGGAGATGGCCGGGTTCTCCTGAAGGAGTCCTCCCCCATGGACCATTTGCTTTGGGTTGAAGGCAGGAGGGTTCCAAAGGGCTGCTCCTCCACGCTGTGATGTTCCAAGCAGGGCTGTGTGTGTCGGGGTGGGTTATATAAAGCTGCATCTAGAAGGGTTCTCTCTCAAAGACGTGCTGAGAGTGACTGAATCTTGCGAGTGAATGGAAGGAGAAATGTCTTAAAGCAGAGATATTGCCTCAAAACCGTGCTTTTAATTTATTGTCACAATCAGCTTGAATAATTGATCAGAATGGCTCAGAATGGACTAAACGGGCTGCTGGGAACTGTTAGGAAATATAATTAAGTCTTAGCAATTGGGCGCCTCAATGCAGCATCCTCTTCCCTGGTGTAAAATCAGTGGGAAACGTCAGTGTCAATGTGCTCCATCTGAATGGATGGAGGTGCGGTTGGAGATGTGGGATGCAGTTATCCATCACTCCAGCACAAAACCTCTACCTGATGGGGAGTCTTTGTCTCAGTTTTCCAACCCTTTCTCTCCTTAGAGGTTGAAGATTCCCATTGGGAAAGTGCCAAAGTAAACCCCAGCCTTTATTCTTCCCAAGTCCTGTGTATCCCATCCTCAGTGATAGAATACAACTGGCTTTCTGGTTTAAAGCAGCTTGCCTTGAACCCATGGGCTTCCATAGGCCACGTGTGCCATGTGGAAGTGTCTATTGATGAAGATGAGGATGAGCCACAGCCCTTCTGGATCTACAGGATGAAGGTCACTCAATGCTTGTTCATTCAGACAATGTGTGGATAAGGACTGGTTCTGGTCAAGGTCTTTCAAGTGGCCTGGTTTGGGTTGAAAGGACCTCAAAGCTCATCCAGTTCCATGGGCAGGGACCCCTTCCATTGGAGCAGTTGCTCCGACCTGGCCTTGAGCACTGACAGGGATGGGGCAGCTTCTCCACTCAACCCATTCCATGTCCCACCACCCTCACAGGGAAGAGCTTCCTCCTAGGATCCCATCTCCATCTCCCCTCTTGCCCCTTGTCCTGTCCCTCCATCCCTTGTCCAAAGCCCCTCTCCAGCTTTCCTGTAGGCCCCTTTATGGTACCGAATTCACTGTTTCTTTTAGTTTGCATCCTGATTTTGTCCATTGGGGTAACTTACAAGGGAGTGAGGACTGGCAAGAGCTGAAAGCCCCAGGTCACTGTTACCTATTGCTATTAAACAAGCAGCAGCCCTGCGAGTAGACACCAAAGCAGTTGCTGGTTGTCTGCAGCACGTGTGAACATGATGAGGAGCATGAGGCAGCCGAGGTCCACCAGGATAAATCACAGCATCTCTCACTGGATGGATGCACAGGGTCTGGTACAAACCCTCCCTGCTCTGCAGCTGGGTACCAGGGGGATGCTTGCTGGCTTTGGGATGGTGTTTGAAATGGCCACGTAGCACACGAGGTGCTTGCTTCCCATTGCTGGTTGTGTAACTGGACACAGGGCCCAGGCACATCATTTCTGCCTTCATTTCCCCCCTTTTCTCCATGCTGTGTCCCTGAGCTACTTTGGTTTCTAAATTCAGGCCTTGCATATTTATCTGTGCCATTCAATTAGACCACATCCCCAACGCTGCTCTGGAGTTTCACAGGATGTGGGAAATTTGGTAATTAAATGCATGCAAATGCTGCAAGAATAGAAGAAATTAATTTTCCTTAATATCAGCTGGTTATTCCGTGATGATTCCAGAGCTAACGTGACCAAGAGGCTGGCTTTTCCCTCCCCTTCTTCCCATCCTTTTTGAGCCTTTCCTGTTGCTACTCCAGAAGTACCTGGTTCAGTTCCTAGCAATAGGATCCAAGCTGTGTGCTTACATAGGAGCTATCCTTAAGGATTTTGTGGTTGGAGTTCCACGTGTGTTGGAACACTTGAGGGTAAAGCAGAGCCCTCCCAGTCTGTAAATGGCAGTGTCCGAGCTGGAATGGAGGAGGCACAGATACCGCTTGGAAGGATGCTTCGCACTAGACATGGCTTTGGGAGCACCCCAGGTTCCGTGTTTAAAGGCAGGGATCTCCAGGTATTCCATTATAAACTGAGTTTATTCCCATGGGAAGCTGTGGCTTTTGCTTTCAGAGGCTGGATAAAGCCTGTTCCAGCTCAGGCTCCCAGAGCTTGCTTCTGTTTCCGTGATGCCTGTGGCTTGCGTGAGCTCTTCCCACATGGCCACAGAGCACTCCTCGATGCTGAAACTGGGGTTTTACCCCTTTGGTCCCCTGGTGCAGTTATTCAGGAATCTGGAAGCCTCTTCCAGAGACTGCAAATCTTCAATACCCGATTTGATGCTCTCTGTGTGTTACCATGGGAGATCTGCCTTCATCCCTTATTGAAGGGGCCTTGTCCCATGCTGGACCCTTCCCACCCCATGCACTCAGTGCTGCCTTGCCTTCCCTCTTGAATCCGTTGCCACTTTGGTGCTTGAGTTCCTCCCTGGAGTGCCAAAGCCGTGTCAGGGCTGGGTTGTATTCCAGCCTGCAGCACTGCAGTGCTGTTGCATCAGTGCAGGGCTCCTGTCACTCCTCTCTTGGCCTGCTCCTGGAGTGGGAAGAGAGGGCCCTGTGGCTCAGGGATTCCATGGGTTCCTGCTTGCTGAAGGGAGCAGTGTCAGAGCCTCTGCAGGGTGGAAGCTCTTCCTTGTCAGCATGAAGTGCTCTATCACATTGCATCTGATGCAGAGAGCCTGGCTCCAGCCTGCACACTGGGGAGATGTGACTGTCAGGGATGACTGCTGATGGGAGTCTTGTCAAAGGATTTCATGCTTAGGGCTTGAGGTGAATAGAAACCCTCATTGTTATATCTATATCTATATCTGTGTATGTGTATGTATATGTATGTGCATGAATGAAAGGGTGGGATTTGGCTTCCCATAGGAGAGATTTGGTGTGCTCAGAGGAGGAAGAGGTGAACCCACTGCGGTCTTGAACCTAAAGGAGCGTGCAGAGCCCTCCCCACCACACTCATAGAGCCAGGGAATGGGTTGGGATGAAGGGACCTGAAAGCTCATCCAGTTCCATGGACAGGGCCCCCTTCCACTAGAGCAAGTTGCTCCAACCTGGCCTTGAACAGGGATGGGGCAGCCGCATCCTGTGCCCATGTCCCACCACCCTCACAGGGAAGAGCTTCTTCCCATTGCCAGGCTGAAGTCATGAAGGCAACTTCCCAACTGCTGTAATATGTGATGGGACACGAGGGAGCTCAGCATATTCCATGCATGTTGGCTACAGAGCACTGGGTTTGATATGGTTGCTTTGCAGAGTTCCTGTAGAACCACAGACTGGTTTGGGTTGGGAGGGACCTTAAGGTCATCCAGACAGGGAAGAGTGGGATGTATCCCACTGTATCAGAAGTGGGATAGAGAATAGAAGAGACTCTGTGGTCAGGAGATGCCCAAAGCGGGTTGGAGATCCAGGGCTGTGCGGTGCTTCTGCTTGGGCTGTGCCACCAGGGTAAGGATGGGGAGGGACGGGCCAGTGTCCATCACTTGGTCCATGGGGTGAGGAGCTGCTCCGTGTCCTCGCTGTGCCTGACCTCGCTGTGCCTTTGCTCCCCTGCAGAGCTGACCTGTCCGGGTGCAACAGAGCAAAAGAAGCTGCTGCAGGATGAAAAGATGGCAGCGAAGCTGCTCGCACCACCAGGCCCCGAGAGCTTCAAACCCTTCACGCCGGAGTCTCTGGCCAACATCGAGAAGCACATCGCCGAGCTGAAGAAGAAGCAGCGCTCCAAGCAGGACAGCAGCCACCGGGATGACGATGAAGACAGCAAACCCAAACCCAACAGTGACCTCGAGGCGGGGAAGAACTTGCCTTTCATCTACGGGGACATCCCAAAAGGCCTGGTCGCTGTACCCCTGGAGGACTTTGACCCTTATTATATGACCCAGAAAGTGAGTCGGAAGAAGGAAGGCGCTAAACTGCCTGTTCCTTTAGGGAATGGCAGGTTCGGGTATGGTGTGAGGAGAAGACAAAGAGCGGAGTCTGTGGATGGGGCTTGTTGTTTTCCCTGGTTTGCTTTGGGGTTTAATAGGGATGCTATGGTCCTACTTGGTTGGAGTTGACAGCTGAAAGTTGTGCCGAGCTGCCAGTGTTAACCATAAGGGCAAGAAGAAGGGGTAATGGTTTTAAGTGTGTGTTTGGTTTACTTGCATGGAATTTGATGGTTGTGAAGCAGTGAGGACTGAAACCCCAACGGGGTTATAACTGCCTTTTGTCGCCATCAGTTTGATTCCAAACATGTGATGTGTGTGGCATTAAGCAGGAGGCATTTAGGGGTGCCGAGATGCAGTAAGGAATGGAGTGATGGCGTGAGGAAAGGGGTGAGTAAGCAAACACTGTGGGGAGGGATCTTCTATGGGGAAAGAAGGAAGAGCATGGACACTGATCTTCATAGAAAGCCAAAGGGCTTAAGCCTGGGGCTCTCTTTTACTGCTTTGTGCCTTGTTCCTTTGCTAGAGGTTGAGTTTGAGTGGGCAGAGATGGTGACCACCTATAACTCAGGCTTAGCAGTGCCTGGATGTGACCCTTGTTGGGATGTGACCACTCCAAACTGGAGCTGTTGTGGACAGCAAGGCTTTGTGTCGGCCTTGTCGCACCCAACCAAAGCCATTGGGATGTAGGGGATGCTGCAGCAGATCCAAGCAGGAGAGGTTGGTACCCAGGTACCTGCAGGGATGCAGCTGTGGGATGCTTGAGCTCCTTCAGGCTATAGCAGGCGAGTGCTGAAGGGCTGTGGGCACTGTTGGGTGTCACAAGCAGGAGGCAAGGGGACCGGGGCAGCTCTCAGCTTCCTCCCAACACAAAGCTAGGGAGAAATCCATGGTTTTGAGGGAAAACCGAGCTCCGTTCCCAATCCCTGCTTGCTCCCTCATCCCCGTGTGCGGAGCTGGAGCTGCTGCCGTCGGAGGGGAACGTTCCAGGTGGGAGATGGAGCTCAGAGAGCTTTGCTCTTCCCATGCACACCAGAACTGGCTCAGCTCCTTTTCACCCCCTTGAGTGCGGGGATAGCTTGGGGCTGCGCTGCTGCTTTGCTGCTCCAAGCAGCGGCTTCCCCCCAGCCCTTTGGAAGCATCGGGAATCGCGCTGGGAGCACGGGAAGTGTTCCATGGTTTTCCTCTCCAGCAGCAGCAGCACCCAGGGAGGAGCGGCTCAGCTGCAGGAGGACGCAGTGATCTTGGCTTTGCCACGGGAGCTGAAACTGCATCCTCATGGAGGAGCTGAGCATCCCAGTGGCCTCTTAACTGATATTGAAAGGAGAAACAGCGCGACCTAGAAACAGCCCTGGTGCAGAGACTCAGAATGCCGGGGCTTGTGTCCAAGCTGCTTCCCTTTTCCCTGCTGTTTCATTGAGCAAAGTGGGAGTAATGCCTCGTAGGAGCATCACTAGAGGCCCTTTGCTCACCGGTCGCGGGTTTTGGGGTAATTCAGCTCCTTTTTGTCTTTGCGAGGGAATGTTCTTTGGTTTACAACTAAGAAGTCCAATTCCTGTGGGAACCAACCCATGAACTTCCCTGTTCTTGTGCAAGCAAGGCTCAGGCTGCCTCGGATGTGGGAGCATCCCTAGCAATGAAGGCAGAGCAGATGCTTGCCTCAGTCTGCAGTGATTGCTTAAGCAAGAGGTAGGATCTGGTCCCTCCTGGACCATTATTAGTGTTTCTATTTCCTGATGTTTTCCCATCTTTTAGACCTCTTTTCTCTTCCGTTTATGGCCTTGGTTATCACTCCCACTGAACACCCTGTTCTTTCCCCTTGTGTGGTCCTTAAGTGACTTCCATTTCACTCAGCAAGAGAAGAGGGGAAAGGGGTCAGTGCTCCTGCAATGGCTCTGTTCAGGAGGTCCCTGAGTTTCTGGGAGTTGGGATCGTATGGAAGCCCATTGGGTTCAATGGGGAAACCAGCCCTGCAGTTGCTGACATCCGTGAGCATCCCAGGTCACCTATAGCTTGCTGAGGAGCACCTGAGGATCCTTCTAGAGCCGTTGTGCCAATGGAGTGACTTGCAAGTTCAAGTCACGTGCAGGGATTGGAAATGGGCCCTCGGGTCTGGAATGTCACCTTGGCTCCGAGGCCCTGGGAGAATCCCAGGGATGTGAGATTCCAGCCTGGGAGAGGCACGGCTGGCTCTAACCTGTGCTTGTGCAGGGCAGGGTGATGGCCTGCGAGGTCGAGGCTTGGCAGAGCAGTGGAGTCATTGAAACAGAGGGAAGATTTGGGGCCGTGTCAAAACTGAGCCTCTTATTCCCAGGTTTTCCATGTTTAAGGGCATTTCTCCTTCCGCTCCATCCCTCCGGTGGGCGTCGAAGGAGCAGGACAGGCAAGCATGCCCTTCCTAGGAAGAGAAAGGGGAGCTTGATCCCTGCCATGCATCTTGTGCAGCCCTTCCTGGGTGTCAGATGGGTGATGGAGACGGGGGGGCCCGGTGCTGCCGTAGCGCATCCCGCTTCCTGCTGGGATCGGGATACACGAGTGTGGCACGGAGCAGGAGGCGAGAGAGCCTCTGCTGCAGTCACCTAAATAGCTGCAGCCCACTGGTGCTGAGTGGAAGGGAGGAGAAGCATTTCCGCCTCGGAGGCAGCCTGGATCCCCTTCCAGAGGCAGATTGCGCTGCCGTTGGCGCTGACACCCGGCTCCACTGCTCCGCGTTCCACATGGAGCGAGGTCTATTTTTACAGAGCCATCCTTCAGGAATGCTTTAGCTGATGCATTTCAATAAATGGCGAGGGTTTTTTGGTTCCTGCATTGAAACAAGAGCAAAACGTGAAGATTTCTTTCCTTCGTAACGAATGGGGGTGAGGAATAAATCAGTTCGCTTTGGAGGGATGGGTTAATAAATACCAGATCCTGTGATTTCTCCGTTAGGAGCCGGTTTTGCTCCATTCCCTCCTCCCTCAGCCTCCAGGGTGGCAGAATTCCCTGCAAGAGGAGCGTTGAAAATAGCTCTGTTCAAGTGACTTGCTCAGGGTGTCACTGGGGAGGCATCGCTCCCTCCCGCTGAACGCTGGGGCTGAGGCAGCCGTGTTCCCGCTGGAGGGATGCGCTTCCATATGTTCTTAGGCTGCTCAGAAAGCTGTTTGCTCCTGCAGGCTGCTGCCCACTCCTCACTTCCCAGCCCTTGCAGGAAGGCTCAGTGCAGGGGGATTTTGAACCTCCCCATGCCCGGGATGCTCTTTGCCATCGCTTCGCTCGTGCGCTGTTTTCAATGGGGTTAGGGATGACTTCTCTTGGGGGATCTTCCCCTAGGAGAACGCAGTCGAAGGTTGCTGTGAAGCCAGCTTTACCCCAAAGTGAGCAAAGAACCTTCAATGACCAATGGAGGCTTTGGGAAGTTCGGGCTCCCCCCCCTTTCTCCGGGTCTCACCTTCCTCTGGGTTTCGAGCTTTGCCTCAGCAGATCCTCAAGGGGCTTAAGGATGCTCTTGGCCCTGGACCAGCAAACATCTTAAGAGCACGCAGCCATTTTGCAAGGGAGTTTTAATGTCAGCAGCAGAAAGACAAAGCGAAGAGAAGGGGTTCAGGTGCCAAAAGCTCCTTGGCTTTTGTGCTTTCCTTTCTGTTGATGAGGCCAAGCAGAGATTTACCCAGGGTTTAGAGGATGCAGAGGAACCGGAGTGGAATCGATTGGAGCACTGGGTTGGGCAGCACCTTCTTTGTGCTGAGGTTGTATGAGAGGCCCCGTTGTGATGGGCTTTAGAGGCAGGAATCATCATGGGCTAAAAAGGGCAAGATGGGAAGAACAGGAAGAGGAAACAAGGAGCTGTTTATGGACATGTAATAGGTGAAGGACTAAGCAGGATGTTTGTGCAGTTGCATGATGAAGTAGCTTATATTACACCAGGGAATGCCAGGTGTGTGAAAGGGCCACTGAAAACGTGTGTTCCCATGTAATCCCTCTAGCATTCCAAGGCTCTGCCCCTCCATGTAGAGCAGGTCCATCCACCTTCCCACCTGAGCATCGCTCCTGTTGCGCAGGTCGAAAGGCTCTGGGTGGGTTTCCATCTGAAGCATGTACCTGGGTCTCCATGTGAAGAACTTGTGGCTTGCTGAGGAAACCCCAGGGCTCCTCCCCTGGGATCCTTCCCAAGTGGAAATGGAGGCGCTGTGGAACTGAGCTGCTGCATGGTCCAGCTCCCTTTGTGCCCGTGTAAGGTTCAGCCCTCATTTCATGGCTTAGAAGATGGGGGAGAGCTCAGTGCTGAGCTGGGGACACGACTGAAGTGCACGAGCATCCCTGTGTGATGGGTCTCCTGCTCCAAAGAAAAGGGCACAGGGAATGAAGGTGTATCCATGGTCATGAGCCGGAGCTGGTTCCCAGCATGGGGTGTCCCTCGACCACTGTAATCTGCACCTTTGAAGAGCTTAGAGCATCCTGTTCCATGCCAGGCTGGTCTGGTCATTCATGCTTGATGCTGCAATGGAAGAGCTGGCTGCAGAGTGCTTCAGCTGGGGGATGCATTGGTGGTTCTGCTAAGGGAGGTTTCACACGGGCGCTGGACCGCACCCTGGTGTCGATTCCCTTTGCTGCTCCATGGGCTCTTTTAGCCCAAAATGAGCTAAACCCCCCCTTGTTTCCCTAAGAGCGTGGGGAAGCCCCATGGATGCCTTGGCAGGGAGCCCTCATGGGTTCCCTCCTGATGAGAGGCTCCGGGCTGGATTTGCTGCTGCCCCTGCCCCGCTCTTGGGCTTCATCCTGCGCTGCTGCAGCATCCCAGAGGTGATGGGCACGGGGGGTGATGGATACTTCCAGTGCACACGAGCTGCCTTTGCTCCTTGCAGTTGAGTGGAAGGTGCATTGGGAATGCTGGTGTTAAGCAGCCCCAGTTCTAGTTCTGCCTCTCCACGTGGCTGCTTTGGTTGTCTCCGTAGTCGTGTTGCTGGTGGGGAGATGGAGCAGCAGGTCTGGATTTGATGGGGTCGATTCTGCCTCACGTTTGCATCCCTCATTTCTCTATAAAGTGATACACCTTTATACAAGTAAGGAGAATGTAATAAACCTTAACATCTCACTCATTAAAGGCAGGGAGAGCACATGATTATGACTGGAGTTGATGCACCAGTGTGGAATGTGTTCATATTCCCAGTGATGGGTGTCTGACCTGTATCTGGTGATGGGGACGTGTTCTCATTGCTTACCTGCTTCCTTGCAGGTGCGATGCTGTCCTGTTTGGTGCTTGGGAAGGAGAACTGAGCTGCATGAACCCTGTGCCATAGAGGTGGTTTTGTGCCCTGGGCAGTGGCATAAAGCTGGGGTTCAGTTCTTCTCCTGAACTTGTGGTCCTGTTGCTTTGGGGATAGGGATAACGGGGCCTGAGGAAAATGGGTGTGCTTAGATGGGAGCTTTGGCCTCTAGGGATGGATGGGTTGGAGTAGAACCGCTCGTGATGCGCTGCTAAGGATGTTTTACCCTAATGGGGACTTCATAAAGGGGATGGTGCTTTAAGAAAGGCAGCAAATGCTATTTTTATGCCAGGGGGATAATGAACGCTTTGATGTTCCTGCATTAACTCTCTCTTTCTCTTTGTCTCTTTGTTTCTCTGCAGACCTTTGTAGTACTAAACAGAGGGAAAACACTCTTCCGATTTAGTGCCACACCTGCCTTGTACATTTTAAGTCCTTTTAATCTGTTTAGAAGAATAGCTATTAAAATTTTGATACATTCATATCCTTTTGATTGCTATTTCTGCCTTGCCACAGTCACTGAACCAGCCCCTTGCTGCTCGTGTTGGTGCTGGGTTCTGATGGTGGGGATGGGTTCGCGTTGTGCATGTGGCCTCAGAGCACTGGAAAGCATGGCCCTTTAGGCACATCCAAGCCAGTCAATTCCTTCATTTTCCCTGCTCTTTGCACCTATCTGTGTCCATGCGTTGTGCATGGACACCCATAAGTATTGGAACAACTGTGATTTATGCTTTACATGAGGAGGAGTTGAGCTTTAGCTCCTGAAATGCTTCAAGAGCCAAAGGTTCCTTGTATGGAAGGAGATGCTGACTAATTCCTTGCTCTTTCAGCATCTCAAACATCCCTCTAATGGCAAGGCTATTCCTAAATGCTCCCCTGCAAGGCTTCAGGCAGCTTGGGAATAGACAGGGAAGAGATGGAAAACGTCATCTGCATGTGTTAGTAGGAGAGGGGGGGAGGAAAAAGGTGGGATATTGAAGGAGCTGCTTCCCTGGTTAGTTATTTATTCATAGCAAGTGGCTCCGAAATGGAATTCATGTGTTGGGTTAGAGGCTTCTCAGCACTCCCTTCCTGCATCTCCTACAAGGGAAAAGCTTTTCCATCTTCCCAAAGTCCATCTGGGATCTGAGGCCGGGAACGTTTTCTTTTGCTCTGTGTTATTTCTCCCCTCTGGATGTTCTGGGATGCAGCGGGGAGATGCAGCTCTGTCAGGTTGATGCTGGCAAGTGGGTCTTGAGCCTGGAGCTGAGATCCATTGAGTCTGCTTCCACTGTGGAAGTCCAGCAGCTTGGATCTGACCCATTCTGCTGATGATCCCGTGGTGAACGTGCACTCAGCTCCTCATGCTGAGATTGAGCTGTGCTTGCAGTGCTCCTCACCCCATCCTGAACACACACAGGCAGCAGAGATGGTTGGGAAGATCCTTAAGATCTCCTCCAAGGCAACTCCTGGGTGTCCATGGGTTGCAATGCTGCTTTCCAGTTGGGTATATTACTGATGTTCCTGGAGAGATGGGATTATCTGGGGAGACATTGCCGTTCAGGCATGTGATTTGGGAATTGCTAAGACATGCCAGAGAATAGGAAATGAGTTGAATGGTGACATGAAAACACTATTTATATATAGGCACCCCAGTCTTACATCCCGTGAGCATCTTTGTAGTCCCCCTCGACTGGGAATGGTTGAGTTCCATTGCAGTCAGTGATGCTCAGGGAGCCATAAGCTGATGTAAAGAGCCACGCCGGTGTCCGTTGATCCTTGACTTTGGTCTACAGTATTTAGCATGATCATTATGTGCACTATTTTGACCAACTGTGTATTCATGACTTTTAGTAACCCACCCGAATGGTCGAAGAATGTGGAGTAAGTAAAAGCTGCTTCAGCTCCTCCCATCAACCCAGCTCCTTTTCCACCCGCTTTGCTCAGACCCCAGGGGTTGGAACCCCTTTGGTCACCACTGGGATGGTGTTTTGTACCCGCAGGTACACGTTCACTGGCATTTATACCTTCGAATCCCTTGTGAAGATCATTGCGAGAGGTTTCTGTATAGACGGCTTCACTTTCCTGCGGGATCCGTGGAACTGGCTGGATTTCAGCGTCATCATGATGGCGTAAGTCCTGTTCTCAGCTTGCTCCAGCTCTCTGGGGCGTGTGGGAGGGGATGGGGGTGAGGGGGGGAAGGAGGCAATAGGGAAAACTTCAGTGCATCCCCAAAGGTTCATTCTGGCAAGAGGAAAGCTTTGCCTGGCGTGGAGTTGCAGACCTAAACCGCAGCTCCACAGAGTCAGGGATGCTGCAAAGGACGTGTTGAAGCCTGCCTTTGGGTGTAATGAAAAGCTTTAGGATAGTCCCTGGTGTTTTAGGGTGCTCCCATGCCCGAGTCACAGCTTGTCCTCAGAGCTGAGCATCCCATCTCCAGCTCCTTCCCCCCTTGGCCTTGTGTGGTCAGAGGTCCCAGGCTGTGGTTTGAGGTTGAGTGATCATTAACCCCTTTCCAATGAGCTGGAAAAGGAGACGCTTTCTTTTCCTTCCTCATTCTCTTCTCTTGTGCCAGCTCAGCTGACATTGATTATGGGGATTCATGGGGATGGCTGGAGGCTGCACCAGGAGGTGCTCCCTAGAGTTTCCCTGCATTGATGGATGCTTTGGCTCAGCAGGAAAACCCTGTGGATGGCCCTGGTGGTCTGAGGCACTCATGGAAGAGAACGTTGCATCCCCTTTTACAGCTGTTAGTGGGGTGTTGCATGTGTGCGTGTTGGGGATCCCGTAGTCAACAGCAGGAAAGCTCAGGAGCCTTTAGTCATAGAAAATACCCTTTTTGGGCTGGATTCTGCCCCCCAAGCTGTTGATCTCCCAGAGTTTCTGCTCTTTTCTCCGTGCCTTTTGGTTTGTAATTAAACCACATGAGACGAGTTGCCCACTGAGCACTAAAGGCACATAACCGGTTGCTCCCTGAGCCTTTGTGTCCCTTGGGAAGAGGTGGGGATCTCCTGTGATCGTGTGGGGGAAGCTCCCAGTGCCGTGCACGCACTGGATGCAGCCTCTGCGTTGGGTATTGCCTTTGTTCCTCTGGAGGTGAACAAGGAGCAGCTTTAAATGCATTGGTCTTAAACGTGAGAGCTCCCACTGTGTAACCTCCTCATTGCCATTATTGCCAATAGGCTTCAAATCCAATCTCTTTCTGTGTCAAGGGCTGGAACAAGCTTATGTGTTACTTAAATCCCACTGAAGGGGGTCTGAGTTCTATGAAGCACCCGGAGGAGCTCAAATATTGGGCATTTCTTTGCCTTTTCATACCCTGTTTGTCCCCAGACAGCACAGAGGGAATGGGCTGCTCTGAGTTAGCGAATATCACCCTGTTACCCTTGCACAAAGCATCTCATCCTCTGTGTTTATCCCTCTGTAAAAGGGGGATGAGCCTACCTCTGCTCACAGGCAGGGGGTGAAGCGTAAAGGGTGAGACTGAAGGATGCTCCTCAGAGCGACAGACGCTGATGCTTTCTGATAAACACAAAGTGAAGCGAGTACCCTTGAGAGCACTGAAGTGAGGCGATGCCCTCCCAGCTTTAAGCTTTCCAGTGCCCTTCTCCTATAGAGATAGCACTAAATCCTCCAGTCCTGTATAGACGAGGCTGCAGGTACCACCCCATCCACCTGGACGAGCCGCTCGCAGCGTGGAGCCCCTCTCCCTTTGCAATGCCCCCCTTCGAAAGCCCTTGCAATGCTTGTTTCCTACACCGGGAGCGACCCCAACGGTGCCATTAACTCTGGTTTAATTCTGCAGGTATATAACAGAGTTTGTAAACCTAGGCAATGTTTCAGCTCTGCGCACTTTCAGGGTTCTGAGAGCTTTGAAAACTATATCAGTTATCCCAGGTAAGGCGGGCTCGGCTCGGTGTTAGCTGTTGGGTGCAGGCCCCTGTGAGTGCTGTATGGCTTTGTCTGTAGTAGGCGTTCTCCTCGGCGCGGCGTGTGTATCGTGATGGTGTTTCCTGTGTGTCACCTCCCTCCTTGCAGATATGTCACTGAGTTTGTGGACCTGGGGAATGTCTCAGCCTTGAGAACTTTCAGAGTTCTCCGAGCTTTGAAAACTATCTCTGTGATTCCAGGTGAGAACCGTGCAGCCTCCAGAGCTGCCTCCCCTCCCGTCCTGCATCCCCTCCCGTCCTGCATCCCCTCCCGTCCTGCATCCCCTCCCGTCCTGCCTCCCCTCCCGTCCTGCATCCCCTCCCATCCTGCATCCCCTCCCGTCCTGCATCCCCTCCCGTCCTGCCTCCCCTCCCGTCCTGCATCCCCTCCCGTCCTGCATCCCCTCCCGTCCTGCATCCCCTCCCGTCCTGCCTCCCCTCCCGTCCTGCATCCCCTCCCGTCCTGCATCCCCTCCCGTCCTGCATCCCCTCCCGTCCTGCATCCCCTCCCGTCCTGCATCCCCTCCCGTCCTGCATCCCCTCCCGTCCTGCATCCCCTCCCGTCCTGCATCCCCTCCCGTCCTGCATCCCCTCCCGTCCTGCATCCCCTCCCGTCCTGCATCCCCTCCCGTCCTGCATCCCCTCCCGTCCTGCATCCCCTCCCGTCCTGCCTCCCCTCCCGTCCTGCCTCCCCTCCCGTCCTGCCTCCCCTCCCGTCCTGCATCCCCTCCCGTCCTGCATCCCCTCCTGTCCTGCATCCCCTCCCGTCCTGCATCCCCTCCTGTCCTGCATCCCCTCCCGTCCTGCATCCCCTCCCGTCCTGCATCCCCTCCCGTCCTGCATCGCTCGCTGCTCACAGGCCCTGGGATGTGTCGGATGGGCTTTGCAGTCTGGATCAATGGAGGCGTTGGGAATTGAGGCTTCTGGGCCATTGAATTGGCTCTTCCCGTTCTTTATCCCTTTCTCCACTCTCTGCCTGAAGTTTAGTTCCAGGTGGCTGCAGAATGGGGATATCCTTCCCCCTTAGGCTAAAGAGTTTCTTGCTCAGGAAGTCACCCCGTCATGGCCACTGTTTCTAGAACTGTTCTAAAACCTAAACCCAAAACCTGTTCTAAAATCTAAACCCCAAAACCTGTTCTAAAATCTAAACCCCAAAACCTGTTCTAAAACCTAAACCCCAAAACCTGTTCTAAAACCTAAACCCCAAAACCTGTTCTAAAATCTAAACCCCAAAACCTGTTCTAAAACCTAAACCCAAAACCTGTTCTAAAATCTAAACCCCAAAACCTGTTCTAAAATCTAAACCCAAAACCTGTTCTTGTTCCTAAGAATAAGCTGAGAGCAAAACCCAGCAAAGTTAAAACCTGCCTGCATGAGGTCACTTCAGTTCCTTGGAGTCAGATGGGATCTAGGGCAGGTAATGGCAATAAACTTCCCTCCCCGACCCGTCTCACCCCATAGAACCGCTTGATGAGTTCTGCTCTTTGGTTCTTTGTTCCCTAATGCAATAACTGATGATGGTTCTTCTGCTTTCTCAGCCTCCACTTGCCAGAAGAGAGGCTATGGGATTGTAGGGGCCCATCACTGTTGTCCCCGTTCCAGACTGCTAAACCCATCAGATGTACATGGCTGTTGTGCATGATGTGCAGTGGCATCTGCTTTCCTTGCACCCAATGAGAGTATGCAAGAGTGTGTTCTTACTTAGCATTCCTTAATGTTTGCCAGTGTTAAAGAGCACAGGGTACGGGGGGAATTGCTGTCAGCAGCACCCTGGGGGGATCTGGGGTGCAGTTGTGGTTCTGCCAGCCTGCTGCAGGTATTAACTGCCTTGCTCAAGGAACAGCATCGAGGTTAACATAAGTTCTACGTGTGGTTTGCTTTCGGAATGGTGGCAAAGGGAAAACGGTGCAGCTTTAATGAGCTGGGTGCTAAGCATGCCTTGCATTCCCATGGAAAGGAGCAGGACGGTTCCGTTCGGGATCATTCCCTCCATCCTACTCAAAACCAATGGAGTTTTCCTTCTATTTCTAATGAGAACAAGGGAAGGGGCAGCTGAGCCCTTCCTAAGTGCTGTGTAGCCACTACAGGCTTGATTTATGGGGTTCCCCATCTGCTTCAGCACATGTAATGGAATGGGGATTGTAACGTTGGGGTTACAATGAGTGGTAACCACATCTTCTATCTATAACTGCGGTTATCCTCAGTGTGGTTTATAGGCAAGATATTCCATGCAGGTAGAGGGTCTGCATGGGCTCCAGTGACAGGAGCAGACTGTGGCTAAAGCATCACGCTGCTGCTGTGGCTTGGTAGGACCTATTGAACTCTGGTGTTCTAAAGAGATGTGGCCATTGGCATAAATGAATTGGGATTTCAGTTGCCTGATGCCATCAGTCTCCAGTGCCTGTGACATTCGATAGGACCCAGTGGTGATGCAGATCTGCAGAGCACGAAGGCCATTGCTTCCACTGGGAGCTGCTGGAGTTGTGTTTGTGGACTGGGAACACTCCTGCTGCCAATTGAGCATCGTGGTTCCAAGCCCCTTTCTCCTCCTGTGCCTATGAGAGAGCAGCACACAAAGCAGAGAGGCCTGGTTGCTGCGGGGAATGGCTGCATGGGGCATATTTGAGCACTGGAGATGAGCATGCACACTGGTGTTGGAATGCCAGAACTAACAGCAAGAACCTGCTTGGGGCTGGAGTGGGGCTTTGGCACTGCTTGAAAACGCTGGAGATTGGGATGAAAGACATTTAAAACACTGTTCCTCCATAAGAATTCCTTTTGAAGCCTGGTGTTCCTGATCCGGATCAAACCTCTGCTGGTGTAGAAAGGGTTCTTGCCAAAGGTTTGCTGCCGAATGCCAGAGCCTTGGATCTGACTGGCCCCAAACAGAGCCTCCTTCACTGCTCAGTTCCAAGTGCAAGATTAACATCAGCAAAGCTGCTTCAATACTCTATGGCTTCTGCTTCCAGAGTTCTTGCTCTGTCTCCTGAAGCCTTTGTGCCGTGTTCTTCCCCACTTCATGGCTGGTTCCTCTTCCAGCCCAGCCTGCTTTGCAGAACTGGCAGCATTCTTGACTTAGGCCTGAGCTTCCTTTCATTATTGAGCCATTCATGATCTTCTGGAGCTATTCATGAGCCCGATGGCCTTGGTAGAACCCAAAGAGCCAGCGCTGAGAGTGAAACCCTGCCCCATCAAATCCCATCATCAAGTGAAGGATGCAGCTCCTGCAGGGGAAGGGGAAAGTGCTGAAACACTTGAGTTAAGCAGCAGGAACTTAAGATGGGCAAACTGTTGGCTCTTTGTGGGGTGTTTTAGCTTGTGCCAGGCTTAAACAGAACTCAAGGTGTCCATGGAGAGCTTTGCAGCAGCGTGGCTTAATTTAACACCTTGGTTTAGGCCTCCTGAGGATGCTTTGCATCCTGTGCTGCAAGGCTCAGATGCACGCAGGGAGGAACGTTTGTTCTCACAATTGCCACTTCACCACTGAAACCAGGGAGCTTGGGCCATCCTCATCCCTACTGCACCGGGTGGGATGGGCTGGTTCATAGCAACCCTCTTTGCCACCGCGCCGCGGTTGTAAGGGACCGTGAGGATGCGATTCCTCCCTGTCTCCTCCAGGAGTCATTGCCACTCTTGTTTCCCCCCTGCAGGCTTGAAGACCATCGTGGGTGCCCTCATCCAGTCCGTGAAGAAGCTGTCGGATGTCATGATCTTGACGGTGTTTTGTCTCAGTGTCTTCGCTCTCATCGGCCTGCAGCTCTTTATGGGCAATCTGAGGAACAAGTGCGTCATCTGGCCCATCAATGTCAACGAGACATTCCTGGATAACGGCTCGAGGGGCTTTGACTGGGAGGAGTACACCAACAATATGTGTAGGTATCTGTGTGCAGTGGCAGCCCCTGCTCGCCTCTGTTTCAGTAGCACCCTGGTGGTTCTGGTCGGGTTCATCTGAGGTGGTCACCTGGGGCTGTGGAGGGTTGTGAGGTGTTGCTGTGCTGAACTCTCTCCTCCCTCTGTGTGTGCGCGTAATCTTCTCTTTCTGTCTCCTTCAGCTAACTTCTACATCATTCCCGGTGCCCCTGACCCTTTGCTCTGTGGTAACAGCTCGGATGCAGGGTGAGTGATGGGCTTTAAGTGGAGCCTCTACTTACCACTGATGGCAAAGCCTTTGGGGTGGTTCCTGCCGCTTCCTTTGTTGGTCCTGGTGTTACTCCACATGTCAAGTATTTCACATTTCTCATCCATTGTCACTACGTGACTAATAGGATGTAAGCTGACATGTTTCAGGTCCTTGTCTAGTGATGATGACTTAGTGGCATTATTTCCCTCTGAATCCGATTGGAATCATCACGGCAATGGGAACCTCTGTGTGCTGTTGCCTTCAGTTGGGTTTTCACCCAGGCCTCTATAGGGCAAAAGCTGCTCCTTTTGGGGTGAAAAGCCTCCCGTTGCCACATCTCGTTTCCATAGGACAAGGAGTGCAGGAGTCCATTCTCCTTGTCTGCTCCTCTTCCTTGACACGGGAAGCAAAGTGCATGCCATGCGTTGGGAGCATCTCCATAAGCATGAGTAGCGTGCATGTTCTCACCTTGCTCTCTCCCTTTTCCTGCCCTGATGCCCTCACCTTGTGTCCTCCACAGCCAATGTCCGGAGGGTTACACGTGCATGAAGGCAGGCCGGAACCCCAACTACGGTTACACAAGCTTTGATACCTTCAGCTGGGCTTTCCTGGCTTTATTTCGCCTTATGACTCAGGACTTCTGGGAGAACCTCTATCAGTTGGTAAGAACCCTTGGCTTTGGGGTTAAACACGATGGGAAGTGGGGATCTTAAGGTTCTTTCCAACCCAACCCAATCTGTGGTTCTGTCCAGAGCTCAGCTCTGCTCACAGGAGAGGCCTCAGAGGGAAGAATGTTGCCTGGGTATCTGAGGATGCTTTGGGGACCTCGCTGCAATGGCTTTTGTTCTGTTTGCTGGGGTTGGAAGGGAGTCAAAGCGTTGAGTTTTGCGCTGTGCATCCCAATCCCTTCCAGTCTGCAGGCATTGGGTGTTCCCTGAAGAACAGGGATGTCCCCTTGGGTGGTTCTGCTGATGCATGGGCAGGGGCTCTGTGCTGAGACGTTGGATGTTCAGCACTGCTTGGAAGCGTTCAGGTCGAGGAACTGGGGATCAGTTCACGTACCCGGTGTCACTCTGAAACCCGCTTTCCCCTTTCCTTTCCTCTCCCCTCCTGTAACAGACCTTACGAGCAGCAGGAAAAACCTACATGATCTTCTTTGTCTTGGTGATCTTTGTGGGATCCTTCTACCTGGTGAACCTCATTCTGGCTGTGGTGGCTATGGCTTACGAGGAGCAGAACCAGGCCACGCTGGAGGAGGCAGAGCAGAAGGAGGCAGAGTTTAAGGCCATGTTAGAACAGCTGAAGAAGCAGCAGGAAGAAGCCCAGGTGAGTGCTTTGGTTGTGCAGGGGCCTCTTTCGAGGTGTATTTGCCTCCTGTTAGGGTGTGTGATGAAAGGATGCAGCAGTGCCCCGGCATCACATCCTCTGTTGGCTGGGGTTGACATGGAGCACTCTCTTCCCTGCTCCTGCTCGTTTATCCTGGGTTATGTGGGAGCTTATTGTGTTGATTTATACTGGAAAACTCCTAGTAAGGGAAATAGAAACGCTCCCACTTAAGTGGGAGAATATCTTTGCAAGAGAAGTTCATCTTTGACCCTTTCTCAATTGCTTGTAAGGGACTGAGAGAGGTTTTACTGCCTGACAAAGTAGACTGTAACAGGTTCTGGTTGCAGGTTCCTTCCATGAGAAGGAATGAGCATCCCAATCCCGCCCCAAGGACATGGTTCTGTGCATGAGGCCCCACTGGGTTTTAAAGCAGAGCTATTAATCACGGTCATCTCTTGCCTACACCCTCAGGCGGCTGCTATGGTCACTTCGGCAGGGACGGTCTCTGAAGATGCTGTGGAGGACGATGGTGGAGGCGTGAGGATGTCCCGGAGCTCTTCGGAGCTTTCCAAGCTCAGTTCCAAGAGTGCCAAGGAGCGGCGGAACAGGAGGAAGAAGCGCAAGGACAAGGAGCTGTCGGAGGGGGAGGAGAAGTGTGACACCGAGAAGGTGTTCAAGTCTGAGTCCGAGGATGGCATGAGGAGGAAGGCCTTCAGGCTCCCGGATAACAGGCTGGGCAGGAAGTTTTCCATCATGAACCAGGTACTTTCCATGTCCTTCCTTAACGTTTGTGCTCGCTTGGAGTCGGGATAATGTTCTAGTTTAGATCCCCATTGGCATGTCAGAGGAATCTGCCCATCCTCTTAAACCGGCAGCGGATCAGGACGCTTGGAGCCTGGCACAAACGGCTCCTGAGAGCAGGGAATCAAAGCAGATCACTTCTTTACCCACTCTGAAGGCACAGATGGTGATGTCAAACCAGTGATGGTTTGTGTAGGCCTGGAGAGGGAGTGAGACCGCTTCAGCAGCGCTTGGGAGCACCACAGGGCTTTGGAGCCCGCTGCTCATTGCCGCTCTCTCCAGTCTCTCCTCAGCATCCCCGGCTCCCCGTTCCTCTCCCGACACAACAGCAAGAGCAGCATCTTCAGCTACAAGGGGCGATTCCGGGACCCGGGCTCTGAGAACGAGTTTGCTGACGATGAGCACAGCACCGTGGAGGAGAGCGAGGGCCGCAGGGATTCCCTCTTCATCCCCATCCGCGGCCGGGACCGCCGCAGCAGCTACAGCGGCTACAGCGGCTACAGCCAGGGCAGCCGCTCCTCGCGCATCTTCCCCACGCTGCGGCGCAGCATCAAGCGGAACAGCACCGTGGATTGCAATGGGGTGGTGTCCCTCATCGGGGGACCCCCCTCCAGCATGCCCGGGGGGCGCCTGCTGCCAGAGGTGAGCAGGGATGCACTGGGAGGGCAATGGGGGCACGGCGCAGGCAGGGTGGTTTGGTCCCTTCCCCTGTGTGCCATGAGCCTGGTGGAATACTACTGTGATACTGTGAATGTGGTGGTCAGGGCCTTGGGTTGAGGTGTCCCTGCCTGTGGGATCATGAGGTCCTTTCCAACCCAAACCATTCCATGGCTCATTCTCTGCCCCTCTGCTCTTGTGAGACCTCACTGGAGCATTGTGTGCAGTTCTGGGGTCCTCAACATAAAAAGGACATGGATCTGTTGGAACAAGTCCAGAGGAGGCCATGAGGATGCTCAGGGGCTGGAGCAGCTCCTGTATGGAGATAGGCTGAGAAAGTTGGGGCTGTTCAGCCTGGAGAAGAGAAGGCTGCGGGGAGACCTCAGAGCAGTGTCTGAAGGGGGCCTATAGGGATGCTGGGGAGGGACTCTTCATTAGGGACTGTAGTGATGGGACAAGGGGTAATGGGTTAAAACTGAAACAGGGGAAGTTTAGATTGGATCTAAGGAGGAAATTCTTTCCTGTGAGGGTGCTGAGGCACTGGAATGGGTGCCCAGGGAGGTTGTGAATGCTCCATCCCTGGCAGTGCTCAAGGCCAGGTTGGACGAGGCCTTGGGTGAGATGGTTTAGAGCGGGGTGTCCCTGCCCATGACAGGGGGTTGGAACTGGATGATCTCAAGGTCCTTTCCAACCCGAACTATTCTATGATTCTATGATTATACAGCCTGTACTGAATCAATAACTTCCCCCCTCTTCCCTTCCCAAACTCAACAACCAAACCCACCTCCTTCTCCCTCAGGGAAGAAGAGGCTTGGAATGAAAGGAGTGCCCATAGCAGCCTGTTCGACCTCTGTTCAGCATCACTTGCTCCCTGTTGTTGCTCTCTTCCCCAGGCAGCATGTTCAGATCATGCTTTGCTTCAGGATTCATTCTCTTTCTAGCATGGATGTGGTGGGAGTGATGCATGTGTGAAGGAGAGGTATTACTGAGCAGATCTTTTGCTCACTCTGTGTCCATGAACATCACTTAGATGGTGGAAGGATAGCAGGAACACGTTTCTCTCTCTTGGGCCCACATGCCTTATTTCTAGGCCAGGAGCATGTGAAGTACCGGGAAGAGCAAGAGTTTGTATTGCTCATGCTGTGTTTTCTGCAGGGTACCACTGAAATCGAGATCAGGAAGAAACCTGGTGGCTCCCTCTTGGTCTCCATGGATCAGGTGAACGCATCCTATGGAAGGAAAGACCGAACCAACAGTGTCATGACGGGGCTGACAAACACCCTTGTGGAGGGTAGGTGTGCCTTGAGGAGCTGCCTTGGGTGACTTCCAGTGGGTTTGCAGCGATTGCCCTCTCGTGGTGTGATGTAGGAAGGCAGAGGAGCCATCACTTGGGTGCTCCTCAGTGCTGGGCTCCCTGGAGCTCTGTGCTTGTCCCTCTGCCCCATAGGATTTAGCAGTCCCTGCTCATTTACACGTTTATTTTGCCTCAGCCTGCTTCTTTGGAGGCATTATTGATGCAGGAGTGTTTGTTGGGCTTCATTTGCCTCTGAGTTGTGCGCATAGGGAGGTAAAGAAGTGTCATTGCCCACTGATGAGTGTGGAGATGATAGCAGGAAGATGATGCCTGGTACAGTTGTTCTGCCTCCTGCAGTCTCCCAAGGACTGGAGAGATCCTTTGCTTATATCCATGGGAGGGAGGGATCTGAGTGGCTCTCAGATGTGCCAGCATCCCGATGTCCCTTGTGCTGCTGGCACACCTGGAATGGCCAGCACATGGGGCTGAGCTTCCCAACTCCGCTATGCAGGGGCAAGGACTCCTGAGCGTCTGAGGGTGATGAGCTCAGATTCCTGCTGTCTCCTGCAGTAACTCTGTGGGGAAGCCAAATATACTTAGAAACAGAGCAGGGTTCTGCTGCTGCTTCCCTCCTGCGCAAACGCCCACAGGCTCCAGGGCTGCGGTCCCTCTCTTTTAACTTTAGCAACTCCAAGGCAACTAAATCCCGAGCAACCGGAGAGCCAATGGGAAGGAGAACGCGGGGGTCCCTTCCCTATCCATAGGAAAGAGGAAACTCCAGCTGGAGAGCCTCAATGGAACCAGTGCGAGTGGAGGGGGGGAACTGGTTGTGCTCCATAAGCACCTGGGAAAGAAAGGGACCCAGCAGCCTGTTTGATGCATGTGGCTGAGCAGGTTATTCCCATTGGGAATCCTCTGCAGCGGGATGTCACGTGTAGCATCCAGCACTGAATTCATTCCACTCATGGAAGAGGCAGGGTAGAGGCCGTAACTTTGATCCCAGCCCTTTTCCCATGCTGGGTCCTGGGTTAAACCTAGCTCTTCCTTTAAGATGCTCACAAGATCCGTGGGCCCCAGAGATCCAGCAGCCTCCGAGGTGAGCCTTGAACCCTGTTCTGTTTTGTAACTGTAGAGCTGGAAGAGTCCCAAAGGAAGTGTCCCCCTTGCTGGTACAAGTTTGCCAACACGTTCCTGATCTGGGAATGCCACCCGTACTGGATGAAGCTGAAGGAGATAGTGAACTTGATTGTCATGGATCCATTCGTTGACTTGGCCATCACCATCTGCATTGTGCTGAACACGTTGTTCATGGCCATGGAGCACCACCCCATGACCCCAGAGTTTGAACACGTGCTCTCCGTAGGGAATCTGGTAAGCTGCCATGGGGGAGTATTCCCTACAGATCTGCTTCTCCTGGGATATACTGCTTAATGTAGGCTTAGATTGGAAGGGCTTTACCCCATTGCATGTTTGAGCTGGCTCAGTGCTTGGTGTTGAGCCTGAAGCAGAAATGAATCTTTGCTCTTTGTCTCTTCTCCCCATTCCAGGTTTTCACTGGGATTTTCACAGCAGAAATGTTCCTGAAGCTCATTGCCATGGATCCCTACTATTATTTCCAAGAGGGCTGGAACATCTTTGATGGATTTATTGTCTCCCTCAGTTTGATGGAGCTGGGTCTAGCAGATGTGGAAGGACTTTCTGTGCTGCGATCTTTCCGATTGGTATTCCATGTTCCCCTTCTTTTGGGATCTTACTGTCTTGGAGCTGTTAGGAAGCTTGCTTTATGTAAGGAAAGGCAAAGCCCCCTCGTTTCCTGGCTTGGGGCAGGACAGAGGTGGAATGGAGTCATTTTTATGCTCTCTTCTTACTTCACAACTGCTCCTTGTGAGATCTGAGCTGCGTTTGGGCAGTGAGGGCTGACTTGAGAGGTATCTTGGGGTAGGCTATGACTAGGGATAAACCACGTCAGAAACACCTCTTCTTTCATGTGACCAAATGGGGCAGTCTCTATGTTAGAGCAGAATAAAGGTGCTCAGGGGCTGCAGCCTTGATGTGCTTTAAGTGGTGCTGTCAGCGAGGAGGCTTTTGAGAGCCTCAGGGTTGGATTGCTGGGGGCAGAGAACCCCAACTGAGGGCGGATGCTCTGAGAGCACCGAGCTCCCAGCTACATCCAGCTCCAGAAACCGTGTCCCCAAGTGAAATCCAGCCTCGATGGTGGGGTCTGGCTATGCCAGGACAACCACAGCATGGGCTCACGCGTTCCTAGCCCACGGGGTGGTTGCCGTGTAGGAAGTTCTGCCTGCTTTTCCTCCCTGTTTCAGGTGCACCCCAACTCAGTGTCCTTTTTGGTTGTGTTTCCTGGCTTTTTTTGTAGCTGAGAGTCTTCAAACTGGCCAAGTCTTGGCCCACTCTGAACATGCTGATAAAAATCATCGGTAACTCAGTGGGTGCCTTGGGGAACTTGACCTTGGTGCTTGCCATCATCGTGTTCATCTTCGCCGTGGTGGGAATGCAGCTCTTTGGCAAAAGCTACAAGGAGTGTGTCTGCAAGATCAATCCGGAGTGTGAGCTACCCCGCTGGCACATGCACGATTTCTTCCACTCCTTCCTTATTGTCTTCCGTGTGTTGTGTGGGGAATGGATTGAGACCATGTGGGATTGTATGGAAGTAGCGGGACAGGCCATGTGCTTGATTGTCTTCATGATGGTCATGGTCATCGGCAACTTAGTGGTCAGTAAATGGTTACTGGTGGGCTTTGTTGGTCGCCTCGGGGTGGGGTAGAACATGGGGAGGCCACAGGCAGGGAGTCCTGATTTGGGAGGCTGTTCTAGCTCCGGTGGGGTCCTTCATGGCCTTCAACCTATGAGCCTGTTGCCTTCGGTAGCACAACGTTGAGGATGTGATTTGCTTGATGGGCTTTAAACAGTTCCCGAGAGCAAAGCATCCAAGCCCTAAAAGCTGGGGGTGCAGCCCCTCAGTTACAGGGCATCAAAGAAGCCTCAAAGAAACCAAAGCTGCCTTTCCCGATGGCAGCGATCTGGGACACAGGGGAAGGTCCTGAAGTGTTAAAATGGGGCTGGAATGTGCCCACCAGCTCAGTGACGAGGTAGGGATGTGCGCAGGGCTGGGCTGGTGAGGCTGCACGGCTGCTGTGTGGGAGGCTCCACTTAGATCCTGCTGCTTCCTTCTGCTCTGAAGTGCTGGGAAGGGAAGGCTATGGAAGCAAGGGGAGCAGTGTGAAGAGCTGCACATCTCCAGAGCAGTGTGGGGACCTGGCTCGGGGGGGATTTGTCTCACCAAGGGAGCTGTCAGGAGCTGTGGGCAAGGAGCTGTGGCTCAGAGCGAGCCTGGCCCATTTCCTTGTCAACATCAGCAGGGCTCGGGTGGCCGAGCGCTCCTGGGTCAGCTCTGCCAAGCTCAACCTCTTCTCTTCCAGGTGCTGAACCTCTTCTTAGCCTTGCTCCTGAGCTCCTTCAGCGCTGACAACTTGGCAGCAACGGATGATGATGGGGAGATGAACAACCTGCAGATCTCTGTTATCCGCATCAAGAAGGGCATTGCCTGGATCAAGGCGAAAGTGCGTGAGTTCATGCAGGCTCATTTCAAGCAGAGGGAGGCAGATGAGGTCAAACCCTTGGATGAGTTGTATGACAAGAAGGTAAACTGCATCGCTAACCACACAGGGGCTGATATCAACAGAGACATTGATTATCAGAAGAATGGCAATGGCACCACAAGTGGAATTGGGAGCAGTGTGGAGAAGTACATAATAGATGAAGATCACATGTCCTTCATCAATAACCCCAATCTCACTGTCCGGGTACCTATTGCTGTAGGTGAATCGGACTTTGAAAATCACAACACAGAAGATTTCAGCAGTGATACAGATCCTGATGGCAGCAAAGAGGTAGGAGGAGATGCTCCAGATGCGTTCTGGTCATTCAGTGCTGGTGTGAGGGCCTGGAAGCATCTCGGGAGGGAGAACTAGATAGGAACAGAAGGTTTGTGCTGGAACTCAAGGCACAAGTTTCTTGTGCTGGTTGCTCTATGGAGAGCTGCTAATACTATTAAATATATAGTCCATATATACTTCATATTTGTAATATAAATACTATTAAATCTATATTCTATATACACTTCATCTCTAGAATGTAAATACTATTAAATATATGGAATAGAAATGCTTCATACTCCTGGAAGCTGAGTGAGGATCTCAGTGAGCTGGGGTGAGGAACCAGCTTTTGTTCCAGTAACTCTGGTGAACAAACGGCTGGGTCCTCCTGAGATTGGATGTTTTGGGGGGACATAATGATGGATTGGCTTGGCTTTGGTTTTGTGTTCAAGAAACTGGATGAAACCAGCTCCTCTGAAGGTAGCACCATTGACATCAAGCCTGAAGTGGAAGAAGTCCCTGTGGAGGCACCAGAGGAGTATCTGGACCCAGATGCTTGCTTCACAGAAGGTGAGCTTGGAGATGCAGTTGCATTGCAAGGGTGTAGATGACCTGTAGGTAGGGCAGATTGATCTTGTGTACAGCTGATGCTGTGGGTGCTTGGAAGCAGAAGAATTTGGCTTCAGATGAGGTTTTTCTTCCCCCTTCTGTCGCTGGCCTTAATGTCTTTCAGCAGCTGATCCATTACAGGTATTCCCCTGGCAGAGGTACTCTAAATGGCTCAAGGTTATGTTATCAGCAAGTTTTCCATTTGTCTGCTGTCAAGTGCATGGAAACCTCAGCAAACCCAATCACAAAATGATGTTCATTCAGGTGCCCCCATACAGAAGTGGTGAAAGCAATCATCAGATCCTCAAGAATAAGAGTTTGAACTGAAACTCACCTATTTCATATTGTTGGCATCAAAACCGCTCCTAGCCCATGGCAACTTCATGTTCTTCCCATGTTCCCTAAGCCCACGTGGGCTCATCCTGCTTTGTGCACTGTCCCCATTGCAGGGTGCACGCAGCGCTGCAAGTGTTGCCAGGTCAATATTGAGGAGGGGCTGGGGAAGTCCTGGTGGACCTTGAGGAAGACTTGTTTCCTCATCGTGGAACATAACTGGTTTGAGACCTTCATCATCTTCATGATCCTCCTGAGCAGCGGTGCTCTGGTGAGTACAGGGCAGGTTCTGCTCCTGGGAATGGGTGGGTTTGGACAGGGCAGCATCAATCGGGTCCCATTTCCACATTTCCCCTTCTTGCCTTTCCCATCTTTGCAGAACCACTTGACCTGGTGCCTCCATGGAACCAAACCATCCCTCTCTGGGGGTGTTTGCACACTGGTTGTTAGCTGGGGTTATACAACAACCAACATGGAGCGCCCGTTAGGAGCTTTAGGACCAAAGTCCACACCAATGTGCAAGCCCCAGCAGTAACCTGGCTTCCTCTCCATTCACTAATACCAGTAACAGTCTGGTTGCCAACAGACTCGGCCCTTTTGGATGTGCTGAGCTGCAGGGAAACTGTTCCAGTATGGTCCCAGTTGCTGAACTGGTTTAACTGGAAAGGCTGTGCTCCCATTCCTACAAGGCAGAGTTGTTCTTGCATCATTTAGTCAGGACTTCAGTTTGGGGGGGGTTTACTCTGCTTTGACAACTGCTGAGCAGTGTGGCAGCTACTCCATAAGGCACACTGTGTAAAGGTGTAATTGTGCTGCTTATCTCAAGGGCTGTTGGAATAAACTGCTAGGAAACAGCATTGCACTAGGGGCTAAGTCCTGCCTGAAACGGGAACCTGGTTATTTCCCAGGCTTTTGAGGATATTTACATCGAGCAGAGGAAAACCATCCGGACCATCCTGGAGTACGCAGACAAGGTCTTCACGTACATCTTCATCCTGGAGATGCTGCTGAAGTGGTGTGCTTATGGGTTCGTCAAGTTCTTCACCAACGCCTGGTGCTGGCTGGATTTCCTCATTGTGGCTGTATGTATCCTCTCCTCCTCCTTTCTTGCTGCTTGGAATTAGTTAGCGGAATGCTGGGGTGGTGTTTTCTCCTGAGGAATGTCCTGACTGAATCATACACTTTATATGGATTCGATCCCAGATATCTCTTGGGGTCCTGTTGAGCCTGCAGAGGCAAAGGAGGGTTTTCCAGCCCTTGGCTCTTGCGCTGTTTTACTGTTTCAGAGAGGCCCGAGCACATCTTGAGCTCCTGGAGGGTGTTAAGAGTGGAAGAGCTTGGTCAGATGTGGTATTCCTTGGTGCCACCCTCCTTCTGTGGTCATCTGTGTTCTTAAGGATGGGGAATGATGAGGCAGGCAGCATCTTCCCGTCCCATCACCTGCCAGGCTCTGTTGTTCTGAGCACTGAGCACAGAGCCTTGGAGCACAGTGAGGGCATTTAAAATGAATGGAATTTATGCTGTCAACAGCAGAAAATGCTGGAATTTGGTAGGACTCAAAGTCCAAAGAATTGCAGAACAAGGAGCTTCAGACTCCCAAGTGCTGGGATTGCATTAAATTGTTCCATCACATCCGGTTGTGCATCAGTGCCTTTAGTGAATGCCCTAAGAGAAAGTAGCAAACCATGAACTGTCTTCCAAGCTTCTCCTTTGGAACATGATCCAGTTACACCGAGTTGCTGTTCGGTGACATTATCCCTCTGGGGATATTTTGGAGCAGGTGGAGGAGCTGTGCTTGCAATTCCAGGGCAGAAGTGCCTGCGTTTCCTATGGAAAAGTGCATTTATCCCTTTCTTTTCCCAGTCCTCTCTGCTCCCTTAATGCACGTCTTGAAGCAGTAACTGTTCCCTGCTGAAAATAACCCTCTGTCTCTTTCGCTGCCTTAAGATGAAGCACAAGTGCTAACATGGGAACCCATGTGAGGTACCCTCTCTTCTGCACTCCATTAAAAGGCAAGCAGCAGCTGAGCACTAAAGCAGCGTTCCCAGCCCTTGTGGCTCCGTGTTGGGAGTCCATTTCCAGCTGTTGGGAACAAAGTGCAGCTTCATTTTCTTCCCAAGCATCTGGAGTAAAGAGAAGGAACTTCCCAGGCAGGTAGTGGGCTTACAGGGAGAGAGCCCATGCCTCTGTGCCTGTTAGATCACACTTTACAACCACTTTGCTAGCGTGCTGTGGCTGGGGTTCAAGCCGAGGCAGGGTGGCAGCCGTGACTAATAGCCAATAAGCCTTTGCATCATAACAACCCTCTTGAATGTTATTTTTCAGGTTTGCTAGCATTGTCAAATAACTCCTCCTCTGATTCCCAAAGCTTGCTGGGGCTATTTGTGAAGACAAAGTCTTTTGCTGGGTAATAATGAAGGCTTCTGCTTTTCAGTCGATCTGGAATTCCTTTTGTCTGCCATCGGTGCCTGCTGTGTCTCCTGTCAGAGTGTCCCCAGAGAATAATACTGCAGAGAGCCCATGAAAGCTCAAACAGCCTTTAGTCACTTCACTGCCCTTGTGTTCGTTTCCTCCTTGGGAGCGGGGCATTATCCCAGGGGAAAGAAGCTCTAAAAACGAGGATTCAGTGAAGCCTGGCCCCTGTATTATCCATACAGGGGAAATCACTGCATTTCTCTCTATATGGATCTGATAGCCCATCCCTCTGTGTTCTGAAAGCTGGGACCAGGGGGTGTTGCTGTGGGATTGAGTAGCGTGATTTTGCTTCCCAAAGGCTTTGCTGGAAACCTTTGGGACACCCTTGCCTTAAATCAGTGCCATTTGAAACCCACGTGGCAAAACCCGGAGCCACGTTGCCATAAGTCACCGCGTGGTTTGGCCACTTCCATGAAGACAGCAAAAGGCTGGTGCACCAGCAGGAAAATAGGAGGAAATCTCCACCTTTTCCCACATGCTTCTGGTTTGACATCTGGTCGTGGACTGTGTGTGCAATAAGAATTGTCCATGTGATTCGTTTCACATTATTATCTCAATATCCCTTCCTATAGAAAGGAAGGATAAGTAGGAAGTGTCTGTTCTGAGAATTAAGCCAAACGCCACCTTTTCCAGGAGGAGGTCTCACGTTTCTCCATTCTTTGTTGCTGTATATTGATGTCTTTTATTTTTTTCCCCTTGAAAAGAGGTTGCCATATCTGTTTCTGATCTGTGTCTGTAATGTGACAGTAGCCAAAACTGGAAGATAGCGGGCTGCTGATGAAATGGTGCCTGGAGATACCGTTTCCCTATGGCCAGGTCATGGCTGGTCCAGTCTAAAGAGTTGGCTCGTGTGGGGAATGGACCTCACGTGCCAGGGCTAGGAATAGATGGCTTCAAGTTCCAGGCTATTGGTACAATAGGGTTTCATCCTGCAGGCCCCTGGTTAAAGGCTCAGAGAGCCCAAATCTGATCCCAGGCTGCTAAGGAAATGTGTTGTCTCTGTGGTTGCAAACTGGCTCCAGGAGGCTGTGTTGAGGTCTCAGTGTACGAGCAACCTCATCCTGCCCGTGTTTAACATGGGCATTTCCCCATCCTCCTCCTGCCCTGCGATGCTCACAAAGGGCACCGTGCCTTCCAGCAAGTGCCTGACACTTGCTGTGTGTTCCAGGCAGCGAATCCAGAGCCCACCCTTGGGTTTCCAGTTGGAAGGAGCTGCCCCATCACTCAGTGCTGAGGTTCCTCATGAGTCCCATCCCCGAAGGCCGTGGCCATGGATGGAGCAGCCCCACTCTGTGACCACGGTGGCTTTGCGATGCGAGTTGAGGGCAGCTTGTGCAGTGTGTGTATTTATCTGTATTCTTTCTCATAGGTACCTTTAACATTTGTCTGGCTTAAGTTTAATGGGAGCCGCTGGGATCCTGCAGCCAGTAAAGGGCGAGGGTAAGGTTTTTGTCATCGTTTGGGCTCTTCCTTCCGACAGACCCCTTCTCCGTCTGTGTCTCTGCCTCTCACTTCTCTTTCCCCTCTCTGTTCTTTTCTTATGCCTTTCTCAACCGCATTATTTCCTTCCAGGTCCTTTCAGTCAAGTGAAGTAGGCAGCTGGTGGCATGTCTTCGGGATTTATTCTGGGGCAGCAGTGCTAGGGGACTCATTCTAACAGTCTGGAACCTTTTGTGTTTTGTTTCCCTTTTTCTTTCTTTATTTTCTTTCTTTTTTTCTGTTTTTTTTTTTCTTTTTTTTTTGTTGTTTTTTTTTCCTTTGTTTCTATTTTCTGTGTAGGTCTCTTTAGTCAGCCTTATAGCTAATGCCCTGGGCTACTCGGAACTAGGTGCCATAAAGTCCCTTAGGACACTAAGAGCTTTGAGGCCTTTAAGAGCGTTGTCCCGATTTGAGGGGATGAGGGTAAGATGCCATTAGCAGCTGATCCTTCTGCATGCCTGTGGAGCGTTTCTTTTTTAAGCATGCTAGAACTGATCAAAACTGGTGGGAAAAGCCCCAAATTCCAAAGAGAATCATGATGCAGCTGCTGACTCGGTCACCCACCGTGGATGTCCCCTCACCCTGCCCACCGCTGCACCCTCCCCTCTTAACAAAGGGAGATGCATTAAGCTGCCTCATTACATTCAGTTCTGGCCCCAACCACATGCCATTCGTAGATGATGTTAACACTTGGCTGTTCTCATTTAGCCTGGCTTTTACCTCTAGCATCCGAGGGGGCTTCTGAGCTGTAACTTCTTCTACCTAGGGAGAATCACCAGGTGCAAAGAAGCAGAATTGGAACCACCTCAGTGTCTCCAGCCCCTCCCCGCCTTGGCCGCTGGTGGAATTGGATTCAAAGACCATATCTGAGGGGGTTTTAAAAGGGCAATCTGCCTGCAAGGGGGTAAAAGGCTGCTTCCTTCCTTCCTTGGATCCCTCAGGCCTTCAGGAAGGGACTGGGGGGGAGCCCAGCTCATTGAAAAAAGGCTTTGGTTGAATTCCTCTTGTTGCACCTTGTTGTTCTCGGTCCAGTCTGGTGGCGACTGGAAGCCTTGTCTGATAGTGAAGCTTTTCCTTTCCACTCCCTCCCTTTCCCCATGCTTTATGGTCCCCTTGTCCTGTCACTGTGGAACTAGCACCAAAGCACAAGCAAAGCATTGAACTTGACCAGCTTCCCTCAAATTGGTAGACAGCAATTGGGGATTGGAAATCACTGCAGGGCCTCACTGCTTTGCCACTGATGGTCTCTATTGTGGTGCCTTCTTTGCCCATTTGGGGTTGAAATCAGATAGAACATGCAAGAAGTAAAGGCTATGATGTATTAATGGGTTTCCCACTCGCTCTTAGAACAGTAACATAGGTTCCTTTGTGCTAAATCCCAGTTAGCTCCCAGTGAGAGGCAGTAGAAGAGATAAAATGATGCATTAAAAGGGAAGGGAATAGCAGGCACAGTTTTTACCTTAGGAGCAGTTCCCCCTGGATCCTTCTGATCTCCTTTGAATCTGCTGTGGCACAAAATACAGGGAGCTAACCAGGAATCCTCCAATCCCATAGGAATAAATGATAGAACAAATCCAAAGAGGGGTTTCTCTTCCCCAGTGTTATCCTGCTCTTATTTCTTGGTGTCAGTTAGCTTCATTCGAAACTCTGTTCACTAATGCAGGCCCATGGATGCAAAGCCAGAGCTGCTGCTCGGCTGGGTGCAGGTCCCACCTATGAGTATGATCACAAAGGAAAAGGCCCAGCACTAAACCTGTAGCTTTAAAAGCTGTTTCTGAGCCGTGCCAGAGAGAAGCTGTGATCTCTAGTGCAAAATCAAAGAGTTCCCATGCTTAAAGTGGGGATTTCCACCCAAATTGATAGACAGTTTACAACCAGAGCCCTGTCAGTCACCTAAACCCAATTCTTCTCCCTTTGGTTTGACTTGAAGTGATGCTGCCCCATCCAGCCAGTGCAATCCAGAGATTGGAAATGCCTTTGCAAAGGCAACACCAAACGTAGTTCTTTGCTTTTCTCTCCTCCATAGTAATCTGCATTCCCAAGAGCTTGCTCTGCTCTGAAATGGTTCAGGAAGTTTGACAGTAATGCTATGAAACGTGCATGTGGTTTTGTCAGCCTGCACACAAAAGCCATGTTCCTTCTCTCTGTTCTATGCTGGATAAATCCAACGTGCTCCAAGTGACCAGGTTCCATGAGGACATGACAGGTTTTTGCTTCCCATGATGAATGGAGTCAAGCACCATAGGGGTATCTGTAAGGATCTAAAGAGGCACACAGCTCTTGGGTTGGTGTTCAGCAGCACAGCATCCTGCTTGCTTGAAGGGAGGGTAAAAGCAGAGGCATTCTCTATGGAGCCTGTGTGGAGGGCTTGACTCTTCATGCTTCATGGGGTTTACAGTGATCATAGAACCTGAGACTGCTTTGGGTTGGAAGAGACCTTAGAGACATACAGTTCCAACCCCTCACAGCAGGGACACCTTCTACTAGAGCAGCTTGCTCCAAGCCCCATCCAACCAGGCCTTGAACACTGAATTCATCCCATCCTGTAGCAGTTGTTGTAATGCCACTGTCCAGAGCATGGGGATGGAGCAGCCTTCCCAAACTAAGGCAAAGGGGTAAAACCCCTTTGGATTCTGTTCATCTATGAAAGGGATCTAGGTTAGGATTTAACACCCTGCTGACCTAACTATTCAAAGCCTCCACTGGGTCATGCATTGGCCAGGGATGCTCAGCGCCACGGTGCTCCCAAACCACGAAAAGGCTCAAATGGAAGATCCGAGCTGTGGCAAACCCCATTCTGTGCATTTTGGAGGAAGGAACATGGCTTTTCTGTCCTCTTGAGCCTGCGTAGCTGCATGCTCAGCTGTGTGCCTGAGACACCATCATTGGCCTTGCTTAGTCACAGATCTAGCTCGATGCTTACAGCACCTCACTGCTTCGTCCTAACAGAGCAACGCTGGGCTTGCTCCTGTCCCCACCAGTGCCGTACAGGTGGGAGCAGGAGGCAGGCTTCCCAGTGCTGACAGCCCTGTTTGCAAGTGGGAACGGCCGGCAGGGCCACTGGCTGAGAGCAGAAGTGGCCTCCAACCTGGCTCTGAGGCAATTGTAGCTTAGGAGCCTGTTTGGTGTTAAGAAGAGGGTCTGAGCCTCGTGTAAAGCCCCCTTCTCCCTTTGGCAAGTGGAACTATTGCCACGAGCTGTTGTTTCACTGAAGAACCCAGCCTCAGACCACGAATGGGCCAAACTGGCCTGGTTTCTTGCCAAAACAGAGCTTCAGGAGGTGGCTTTTAAGCTGAATTCCTTTTACCTCTTGGAATAAGTTCATTGCCGACTTCCACACAGACTCAACGCCACGGCTCTGCCAGTGGCCTTCCCTCCTATCCCCCCCCGCCCCAAAACGAGCTGTACTGATGCTTTGCTGTCTCCTGCCTTGTGTTTTATACTGAAACTCTTTCCCACCCCTTCCAACACAGGTGGTTGTCAACGCCTTGGTTGGCGCTATCCCTTCCATTATGAATGTGTTGTTGGTCTGCCTTATCTTCTGGCTGATTTTCAGCATTATGGGGGTTAACCTGTTTGCTGGGAAGTATCATTACTGCTTTAATGAAACAGCTGAGGAGCGCTTTGAGATCGATATTGTTAACAACAAGACAGACTGCGAGGCGCTGATGCCACCCAACTCCACCGAGATCCGATGGAAGAACGTCAAAATCAACTTCGACAACGTTGGCGCGGGATACCTGGCTCTTCTGCAGGTGGTGAGTTTGGCTCTCGCCATCTCCCTGCGAGATCCAAGCTGCTTCGGATGCACTTGGACTGCTTGCATCCAGCCCAGCATTCCACTGATCCCACTTGGGGCTGCTGTTCTGTCAGCCCTGTGCCTGCTCACAAGTGGCCCCAGCTCTTCCCAAGAGTCCACCCATGAGACCACAGTAAACCTGTTTAGATCCATTTACCATAGAATCAGAGAGTAACTGAAGCAATATTGAAGTTCAATGCAATGTTCTTTCCCTTGGGGTGAATCCTGCCTAAGAGGAGGTGTCTTTTCTTTGCTAGGCTACTTTCAAGGGCTGGATGGACATCATGTATGCAGCAGTAGATTCCAGAAAGGTAAAGTACACGAGCACAAACTTGCTTCCTGTTCTTTTACTTTGGTAAGATCAAGAGTAAGAACGGTAGATCTGTGCTTGTGTTCTGTATTTAATGCTGTGGTTGTTTCATTTGCTGTGTTAATGTCAGACGTTAGAGGATGCTCAAGAAGGTCCTGAAAGGAGCAGGGTGATTCGGGCTGCTCCAGGGGCAGGGAAGCTGCAGGAGTAGAACTGCAGTGAGGAAAGGAATACAGATGTTGTCTGCTTATGGAGAGGAATTAGCCAGAAGGTCCTTCATGAACCTTTGCATCCACATGGGAGCCCCAGTTTTGGAATGATGTCTGGGTTGGAGCTCTTCATTCAGGCACTTTTTCTGTTCCTGCCTGCTGGCATCCTGCACCATCCGTTCCTTTTTGCTTTCTGATTCCTTTTCTCCCCCTTTTCTTGGTTTTATGTGAAAAGATTGTGAAATGGCTTTCAATGCAGGATTGGAAACAAGTGTGTTGGGACAGGGTAGAAACCCATTCTCTTGTGGCTCAGCTGATGCTCCCACCCAGCCCTCTTCAAAGAAGGGATGATGCCTTCAGTTTGACAGTGCTCGTCATTAAATCCTTCATGGCCTGCAAATCTCTGTATGTTCTATGGGCACTGGCCTCATTGGCAGCGAAATTCAGTTTAAGCAGTGTGAGGACATCATTTTCCACATATAACTCCAGCTTTCCAAAGCATTGACTGCCTTTCCATGGGAATACCTGGAACCAGGCTTCCTTTTGGCTCTAGTTGTTAGGATGCCTTTGAAATGTCATTTATTTCTCTTCTCATCTCCTCTTCAGCAAGAAGAGCAGCCCAAGTACGAGGACAACATTTACATGTACATCTATTTCGTTATCTTCATTATCTTTGGCTCCTTTTTCACCCTCAACTTGTTCATTGGTGTCATCATTGACAACTTCAATCAACAAAAGAAAAAGATAAGTGATTTGTGTGTGCTGCTCAGGGGGGATGCTGGGACCTGTTAGGGGGATGTTGAGTCTTCAGGCTGATGGGTTTGCATGTATGAGGTACCTGCTAAATAGCCCGACACCTCTGCTCCCTCTGCATCCCAAACAAGGTAGAGGGGATGGGGGGGTTGTTGTGCAATAACCAAGGTCTTTATAGGCTGAAATCCTCTGTTTTCCTTAAAGGAAGTCTCAGTACACCTTGGGTATCAGTATACGTTAGTTCAGTCTGAAATAGCTGCCACCATCTTCCCATATGGCAGGGATCCTCATGGCTTAGCTAGGATGCTTCTGCTTTCCCTCCTGGTGCAGGAGCTGATTGTAACCAGTTTTCCTTTTGCCCCTTTACTTTGGAGGTCAAGATATTTTCATGACAGAAGAACAGAAGAAGTATTATAATGCCATGAAAAAACTGGGCTCAAAGAAGCCTCAGAAACCCATTCCCCGACCTCTGGTGAGTAAGTTAGAAAGGGAACTGAAGGAGCAGACTCAACGGAGCTTTGGCTCCAAAAGCATCCTTTGTTCCATCTCACACTGGACTCCACATCACCATTTCTTGTCGTTAGAATTCGGGTACCATCTGGGAAGGTTCAAATGCTGCAGCTGAGGTTGAGGGTAATCAGTGCACTTGACTCAATCTGCATACCCTGCCTGGCTGAGAGGTTCTAGGGCAGGAGGCCTCTTGGCATCAGTGGCAGGGAGCTTGGACAGCTAGTTAGCCTTGTGGGTTGCACTCATTGAGACCTAAGCATGTTTCTTTGCATGTGATATTGCTGTGGATAAGGCCTCCTGATGCAAAAGAGGTGGTTGAAATCCAGTTCAATCAGCACTGCAAGGTGGGGCTGGCTGCTTTCTGCAGTGGTGAATGGGAGTACATCACCCTGCCTTTGGTCCCAACAAAGAGGAAGATTAATAGGGTTGTGGTAGCATGTTTGGGGTGTAAATGATGGGATTTTCCTGCCTTTCCCATAATCAGATTGAATTGTGGCTAGAATTTGCCTTGAATGCTTCATAAGATGCTGCAAACTCCGTGTCCTCATCCGTGTTCCCACCATGACTCCTTTGTTGAGTGATGGTTCAGTCTCACTTGGTTCCTTGCTTCTCTCCCGTTGCACAGAATCGCATTCAAGGAGCCGTCTTTGACTTTGTTACTCAGCAAGCATTTGACATAGTCATCATGATGCTCATTTGCCTCAACATGGTCACCATGATGGTGGAGACAGACACCCAAAGCAAGCAGATGGAGGACATCCTTTACTGGATCAACCTGGTGTTTGTCATCTTCTTCACCTGTGAGTGTGTGCTGAAGATGTTCGCTTTGCGGCACTATTATTTCACCATCGGGTGGAACATTTTTGACTTCGTGGTTGTGATTCTGTCCATCGTGGGTAAGTGTGACACCAGCTGGAGCTCTCTGAGTGCTAGGCTTGGTGTTTGCAGGGTAAAGCACGGGCTTGCCTTAGAAGTGCCTCCAGATCACCTTCAGCCTTCTCTTTTTAGCCTTGGGAAGAGACTTGGGGCAGAACTTGGCACCTTCGAGTCCTCACTAATGCACCCTCCTTCCCCTGTTCTGGTTTTCAGTTCCAGTCGGGTGGAGTGACCCAGCTGGCTCCCCTCTCCCTGTCTGCATTGCAGCGCTTCCTGCCTTGCTCTTTGGGTTTCAGCTTGGTTGGGTGTTGAAGCAAGCAGCTGTCTCCAGTGGGTTTGGGGTGTTCTTAGTGGCTAGTCTGTAAAGTAGGTGTAACCTCATAGGTACCAGGGGGTCCCTCACAAAGCTCTGCCCAGGCATAGTGACTGAGACTGACCTGAGGTCTAAAACTCAGATCTAGGCTTGTCTGCTGCTTCAGGTAATCCACCTTACGCATCCTTAGCCCTTTCCAAATCAGGGTCCATGGCCTGACTCCCATGGCAGCGCTGGGCTCCGAGAGCTTAGACACCTCCAAGAAGCAACTCATCCATCCTTATCTAGGTGCAGTGAATCACTGTGCAGCTGAGCCTCTCTGCCCCTCCTTTGAGAACTGTTTAGGCAGCCAGAGCCTGTATCTAAGACCTGAAGATGCCCAAAGCGAAGCCTTTGATAGGTGACCAAGATGTCCAACCCTAGGCTAGGTTCAGAAGCAGCTTCAGGCTCATGTCTCCATTGTCACACTTGTTCCTTCTCCTCTTCTTTAGGAATGTTCCTGGCTGAAATCATTGAGAAGTACTTTGTGTCACCCACTCTCTTCCGAGTCATCCGCCTGGCTCGCATTGGACGTATCCTGCGCTTGATCAAAGGAGCCAAAGGAATCCGCACTTTGCTTTTTGCCTTAATGATGTCCTTGCCTGCCTTGTTCAACATCGGCCTCTTGCTCTTCTTGGTCATGTTCATCTTCTCCATCTTTGGCATGTCGAACTTTGCCTACGTCAAGCATGAGGCTGGCATAGATGATATGTTCAACTTTGAGACCTTTGGCAACAGCATGATCTGCTTGTTCCAGATCACCACATCCGCTGGCTGGGATGGCCTGCTGCTGCCCATCCTCAACCGGCCTCCTGACTGCGACCTGGACAAGGAGCACCCCGGGAGTGGTTTTAAGGGGGATTGTGGGAACCCTTCCGTGGGGATATTTTTCTTTGTGAGTTACATCATCATCTCCTTCCTGATTGTGGTCAACATGTACATTGCCATCATCCTGGAGAACTTCAGCGTGGCCACGGAAGAGAGCGCGGATCCGCTGAGCGAGGATGACTTCGAGACCTTCTATGAGATCTGGGAGAAGTTTGACCCCGATGCCACCCAGTTCATAGAGTACAGCAAGCTCGCAGACTTTGCTGATGCTTTGGAACATCCTCTCCGCGTCCCAAAACCCAACACCATCGAACTCATTGCCATGGACCTGCCTATGGTAAGTGGAGACAGGATCCACTGTTTAGACATCCTGTTTGCCTTCACTAAACGTGTCCTGGGGGACAGTGGGGAGCTGGATATACTCAGACAACAGATGGAGGAGAGATTCGTGGCATCCAACCCTTCCAAAGTGTCTTATGAGCCTATCACAACCACGCTGCGGAGGAAGCAGGAAGAGGTTTCAGCCGTGGTTATCCAGAGGGCTTACAGGGCTCGCTTAGCGCGCCGGGGCTTCATCAGCCGAAGGCCTGTATCCACAAAGCTGGAAAACGGGGGAGCAAACAGGGAGAAGAAGGAGGGGACCCCCTCGACCGCGTCCCTCCCGTCGTACGACAGTGTAACCAAACCCGAGAAGGAGAAGCAGCAACGGGCGGAGGAGGGGAGACGGGAAAGAGCCAAGAGGCCCAAAGACGTCAGGGAATCCAAGTGTTGAGCCGGTGGGATTGTGCAGTTGCGACTGTTTGCAAGCAGAAAGGTTGTTTACAGGCGAATCACTACAGAAGAGCTGTGGAGACACTTACCTGAAGATCTTATACCAAACATAGTCTGCTTCCTGTGTGACAGCGTTGCATCTACAGCAGTGAGCTCCCACCTCTTGAAGGGACCCTTTGCAACCAACCAGTTAAACACCCCCAGAAACAAGGATTAACAAAGGATTTTCTATCGTTTGGGCAGGTGGATACTGCATGTTCCACATCAGTCAATGCAACTTAGGACAAACAAGCAAACTAAACCACACACTCCCCCCCGCCCCGGCCCCGAACCAAAACCTGCTGCTGGGATTCCTGTATTGGTCCAAAGCAGCCCCTAAAATGGATTTGATTTCCCTGTTTTGTTGGTGATTCTTCTGGAAAGAAACCCCCAAAGCCACAATGTTCAAGGGTTTGTTCCTGCAAAACTAGGTTTGCATTTAGCGAAGCAGCAAAAAAAAAAAAACACCATAAAACACACAAAAAAAAAAGAGGAAAAAGTTAAAACAAGGAGAACAAAAAAAGAGGCAAAACAAAGCAGCAAAGCCCCATTTAACCCAGGCCCTTCAGTTCTCATCGTTTCTTTGCTCTTTCTTAGCTACATCCTACTTTCTCCATGGGCTTTACTTGGTTTGGGAGATGGGGTCATCGGGTACCTTCAGCCTGGGGCCAGCTCAGGTTGATTCCCCCCCAGAAGTGCTCGTTCAATGCATGATGGCATGCCGTGACCAGGGACCATGCATGAGGAACCATGAAACCACGAGACACAATAACCTGTCCACAGCAGTGTGTTAAGCCATAAAGTCGAGGCACTCCACTGACAAGGTACCACTGGGTTTGGGATCTAACAAGAACCATGCCCTTCACCAGTACATCCCAGTTCTTAGCGCCCTTTCCTAGAGCCACCAGTAGGAGACAAAGCAGAAGTAGGAGGAGGTGAAATACGTGTGTGTGTGTTTAATACATGTCTTTTTAGTTGGGGTTTTTTGCCATCTTTTTGCACATTAAAATAGAATAACCAAACTCAGTGCTGCTCTGGACCTCATCCAAGGGGAGAGGATACAACCTGAGAATGGCTTCTACTGTGTCACTAAACCCAAGCTCTAGGGCTTCAATCCCAGCCCATTTGTACCCTGTATTTAGCAGTAATATTCTTCCTCAGCCTCCATCCTGCAGCGTAGACACTTTGTGCTGGTAGAGATAAGAGCTAAAGGAAGCCCTGTGTTATCTCTGCTGGTAGAAACATGGGGAGCTTCCCCACAGCAATGCCACTTGTGGGGCTGGGGGACAGGGATGTGACTCCCAGCCATCCATTGTCCCATGGCCATCAGGATTCCTGCTCCGGGTGGGATGCTGAGAGGTGGCTTTTGCAAACCCTGAGCCCTTCCTCTCCCTTGGGAGCAGGGAATGGCACAGGAGGGCCACATCCCAGGGCTGAGAGCCAGCTCCTGGATGCCTTCACCTCCTTCCCATCAGTGCTTTCACGGAGCGGCGCCCACCATGGCATGGGCAGGAATCGGAGCTACCTCTTGCCTCAGTCTCGCTGCAGCAGTAACTTGGTGCCACAGGAACATCTTGAGCCAAACCCAAGCGTTGCTTTTCCTCCATGCCCAGGCTCAGCCCTCCCCCAGCTCCCGTTCTGTGGTGTCCTCATCAGTACCCAGCCACTGCTCTGCTTGAGGTGTTTCTTCAGGGCCAGCATCCGGTGTCCCCACAGAGGCAGGGCAGCAGCGCGAGGGCTCGGTGCTGCTCACCTCCAGCAGGGATGCTGAGGCTGAGCGTGGAGCACAGGAAGGGTACCCAGCAGAGCCCCTCGATGGCAGGATGAACCTTGGTTTGCAGCATCTCACAACCCCGAGAATCCGAGGAGTCACTTGAAATCCCACAGGCCAGCAGGAAGCCACCGGTGCCCCCGGCATCCTCCATGGCAATGGAGCAGCCCTGCTGCTCCCAGCACCACAGTAAGGAACCTTTTCTATCCCGTCAGCTCTTGCCCCACTCGCTCCTAGGATGTGATGTGTAATATAACACGGGAGAACCCAACAACCTCCATACACATGTACAGGCTACATTGTAAAACAGCACAAAACGAGGCAAATAGCTGAGAAGTGTGGTTGAACTTTTTAAAGATATTATTATAAATAGTGTAATATATCCTTTTATTTTATCAGCATGCCTTTTTGTAAATACAAAGAACTACAAAAGTATAGAATGGCTTCTGGCTTATGCCATTGTCCATGGTTATCCTTATTTTTTTAATACCTTTCTGTTCTCCTTTGACTTTAGAGCCAGTGACTGTCCCCAAAGGCAAAAAGAGAGAAATAACCCCCTATTCCCCCCCCAAAAAAAACAGCTTTTAAACAAAGCTTTATTGCAAATGATCTTTGCAACAGCAAAACTCTCCAGTTTTGGGTTCCAATGTGCAATAAGTTGAGCACTTCTATGCAAGATTTGGCTCAAGTTCATCGTTGTTCTTCAGCTGGGCTATTGACTCGTAGGTGAAGCTTGGTGCGTTGAAGCGTTCGTGCTGGCCATTGCATTCAGCTACTCGATTAATTTCCAATAAAAAGTCCCTTCAAACTCTGGATATAGATTGGATTTCTTTACCATTAAAGCTGGGCTAGAGGCAGGAGGCCGCTGGGATCAGTCGGCATCACTGGGATGGGATGGGAGCGAGGTCTTGCTTGGTCCTTGTGCTCAGAGCAAGGTTTTGGTGGGGTTTGGGTGGTTTTTCCCCCTCTGTGGCCTCCCCAGGGTGGGGTTTCCATCAGGTGCTGAGCAATGGGGCCACGTCTGTGTGGCTGCGATGGGAGGAAGGACAGAGCTTTGCTCCAAGAGCACAAGGGCCATTCGTGTCGCTCCAAAGGGGGATTTGGATCCTGGCATTGTGGGAGTGAAGCACAGGGGGTGTTGCCAATGCAAAAGATGGAGCCAAACCTCCAAGGAGCTCTTTAGGCTCCCCCATGTCCAAAACTGGGTTGATTTGGGATCATGCTCTTCCAAGAGCAGAGGGGAAGGGCGAAAAATCCCAATTCCAGCCGCTTTATTCCGTTCTCTTAAAGCAGGGAGGCTAATGTTGAACCAACCAAAGGAAACTCAACCCATGATGTTCCATAGAGCCCACACTTGAGTTGGAGTCCAATTTGCTGCTGCAAACAAACCCCTGTGAAAGCTCAATACTGTGTATTAGAGGTTGCATGGTGGCTCCTCGTGATCTTACCCAACATGATGAACAATCACGTTACTCTAAGGCAAATGACAATGAAATAAAGGTTACCCTTTTCACTCCATGAGGGAAGGTTGTCTTGGTGTCGCCATTATTCGCATCCTCCTCCCCTTCCATCTCCCCAGTGCATTTTAGGGTGGTTTTAGCTGGAGTCTGCAGAGGAGAGCAGAGTAAGATGCAGTGGAAGCTGCTGGAAGAGAGCTTGATGTGTTCCTTGGTGCTGGGCTCTGTGGGTGCCCTGCTCTGAGCTGCCTGCCCTGGTCCATGGGGACCAATGCTGTCAGTGCCCTTGGGCATTGTGATGTGATGGGGACGTGCCCATGCACAAGGGATCAGTTAGAGCTGGATGAGCTTTAAGGTCCCTTCCACAGGGATCTGTGATCCAGAGCCACCAGTGAGCCCGGCCCCCACGAGGCTGTCACATCCCTGTTGGCTTCTTGCTTTCCCCATGCGCCCAATGGGGTCCCCCATGGAGTGACAAGGGCTGATCCATGGGGACCTCCCCCATGCTCGGGGTGCAAGTGGGAGGTTCTGCTGCTCAGGAGGGCTCTGCAGCCCCCAAGCCAGCATCAGCCCATCCAGCTTGTCCCACTTCAAAGGGCTGAGCAGGGCACAGCTCCAGGCATCAGCCCTGGTTTAACCTGAGGTTGTTGCAGTGGCTGAGGGACCACCTTGGAATGAGGTTTCTTATTGGATGCTGAGCCCAGTTTATTCCAACGATGTGGGTTTTGCTGCTCAGTTCAGGCCAGGTCGCTGCACGTTGTAGTTCTGAGCATGAGGGTGCTGGGACACCCCATCTGTGAACCGGGTGTCTCCTTCCCTACCTCACAGGGGTGTTGTGAGGCTCAGTGACTGAGTAATGCAGTGCAGAGCTGGGGGCACCGAGGGATGCAGGGGGTGACAAAGATGCTGCTACCGAAGTGCTCCTGACCCAGCATCTCCCCACAGAGCTCCTCTCCCTTTGCATACCCTGTTCATGACGCTGGCGTTGGCCCCGTGCTGGTCTTACCCTTCCCCTCCTCGGTCCTGTCCTGGTTTACATGGAGAAAGGAGGCTGAAGGGAGGGAGGAGGAAGGTGGTAAAGCAGCGGGCTGGGGGTCGATGTCTGATCTTTGAGTTCCTTTGTACTGTACATCTTTTTACTTTGGAATTTGCAATAAAGAGGGATGTCCATCTTGTTTTAACAACTTCTGCTGCCTGCCCTGTCGTTCTGTTCCCTTTGCACACCCCAAAGCCCTCCGCTCAGACAGGTCCTAGAGTGGAAACCAAGAGCATCACTTGGGGACCTCCAGCTTCTGTGGGTTTAGGGCTATCACACACGTGCATCTCTATCAGCCCCATGTGCCAGTGTTCAGATAGCTGCAGCTTTCCCTGGCCCTGTCAGCAACACAAACCCCATCCAAGCCTCCCCCTAACACACAGCCTGTGGGTTTGGGTTACTCTGCAGATGTTCTTTGGCTCAGAAATGCATAGGAAAAGGTAAAACTGCAGTGAGATACAGGCCAAGAAGGGAGCAAAGCTTCCAGCCCATCAGCACAGGATTCAGGAAAGCCAAGGGTATCACCCAGAGCACAAAGCACCTCTACAATCACATTCAATCAGGTCACTGGGTTGTAATTAACCTCTGCTGTGAATAATGAAGCCAAGGTGCTGCCTCAGCACAATGACCCAGCAGAAGGGTTTTATTCCCTCCCTGTGGCCAAGGGAGCTCTGCTCCATCTCTGGCATCCAGGGACAACCAGGAGCATCCCCAGCGCAGCCGGAGGCGGTGGCTGGTGGACGGTGGACGTCCATCCCCAGCAGCACCCAAGCCAAGGATGGGACCCTCCCTGCCCCGAGGAACACTCGGGGTCGGTGTCTGGGTCCTAATGAAGCTTTATTGGGCCCCTGTTTCGGGAGATGCTGCAGCTCGGGCTCCATCCCCGCTTCAAGTAGCGTCCAAGCTCAGCACCCAGCAGCAGGAGGACGCGGCAGCCGCGGTGAGGACAACGGAGACCAGGAACCCCCCGAGGATGCCCGAGGCCACGGGCACGACCCAGCCCAGGAGGCTGCGGGTGTACGGGGGGGGCGGGCGCCTCTCCACCACCAGGTCCCCGAAGTCCGCGCTCGGGGCTCTCCGGTCGCGCTCCCTGCGGCGCCGCTCGCCCCGCAGCAGGAGGCGGGAGCGGGCCCGCTCCGCGGCTCGGCCGTAGCCCTCCACGTTCCGCAGCAGCTCCAGGCTCCGGTCCTGGTTCAGGTTCTTCCCCAGCTCCCGGGCGATGTCGGGGCGCCCGATGCGGCGGAGCCCGCGGGCCAGGCGGTCCCAGCTCAGCGCCTCCCCCGCTCGCCCCAGCCAGCCCCGGAGGGTTTCCGAGCATCCCCCGGCACCGCTCAGGTCCCGGCGGTGCCGGCGGGGGATGCGGTTGTTCTCCTCGGACAGGCGCTGCAGCTCCCGCTCCCCCAGGTCATCCAGGCCCGACAACAGCAGCCGGAGCCGGCGGCACTCGGACGGGGCCAGCAGGTCGGCGATGCGGGCCATGGTGTGGCTGCCCACGTTGGCTGCCACCGTGTCCTCGCACCGGCTGCCTGCTGCCAGCAGGAGCAGGATGAGGCCCGCGGGTACCAGCATCGACCGGGTGCTCCTCGGCGTCAGGGTGGCCCTGGGTCGAAGAACCTCCCTCCTTCTCTGACCTCCCAAACAGAGTGCTCCAGACCTCCCTCCTCATCTGACCTCACAAACAGAGTGCTCCAGACCTCCCTCCTCATCTGACCTCACAAACAGAGTGCTCCAGACCTCCCTCCTCATCTGACCTCACAAACAGTGCTCCAGGGATGTGTTACCTGTTACCAGGTGCGTTGTCCCATGTCACCTCCCAGGAGTGAGTGTTTACTGTCCAGCTCAATGCTGTGCCTCCAGCCTGTATCCCCGACAGCATCCCTGCCTGCATCCTCGACAGCATCCCAGCCTGCATCCCTAACAGCATCCCAGCCTGCATCCCCAACAGCATCCCTGCCTGCATCCCCGACAGCATCCCAGCCTGCATCCCCGACAGCATCCCAGCCTGCATCCCAGACAGCATCCCAGCCTGCATCCCCGACAGCATCCCAGCCTGCATCCTCGACAGCATCCCAGCCTGCGTCCCCAACAGCATCCCTGCCTGCATCCCCAACAGCATCCCTGCCTGCATCCCTGCTTGCATTTCCTACAGCATCCCCGACAGCATCCCAGCCTGCATCCCTAGCAGCATCCCTGACAGCACCCCTGCCTGCACCTCCGATAGCATCCCTGCCAGTGAGCCTAAAGCATCCCTGCCTTCCCTAACTCACCCTCCTAGGGTTTAGGCTCCAAACACCCACAGCACAGGGACAGGCCATCTTGGGATGTCCCCACCACTCTCTTCCCCTCTCCCAGAGGCCCCTCTGAGTCAACAGCAGCAGCTCCCCTATCCCTCCCTATGGAGGGAACCCACTTTCCCACTCCCACCCCAAATGGATGGAGCAGGGTTGAGTTGAACCAATGCGGGTTTGGCTCAGGGGCCGGGTAAGGACCCATAACCACGAGGTGGCCCCGCACCACCAGCACATCCGCTCTATAGCAGGGTGCGGGTAAAGCCGGAGGAGGACGGAGCCTTCCTCCCATTTCCCAGCCCATCCATCCTCCGAGTAATTTATTCATAGCTTCATAACCTCAGGGGTCCCAATAAGAGGCCGGAGCTGCTGCATTGTTCTGGATGCGCCAGGGCCAGCACAAAGGCTCCAGGCACCTACCGGCCAGGGATGCTACCACGTTCCCTATGGTGCAGGGACACAGCATCCCATAGGGCTGGGAAAAAGCCACTTTTCCCTTTATTTCCATTCATAACAGCAGCAAAAGGTGAGAATCCATCCCTGTGGCATGGCCAGGGTCTCGCAGGGATGGAGGGCACCCAATGCTAGGTGTCCCTGCTCATGGCAGGGGGTTGGAGCTGCAGGAGCTTTAAAATCCCTTCGTCCCAAACTATTCCAGGCACGTTCAGGTAATCTCTTTAATACTGTGTAATACTTTTCTTCTTAAAATACAGCATTTCTTGAGGTAGACCATTACAGCTCAAAAGCATTTCTTATTCTTTCTTCTTTCTCAGCCATTAATAAGCCATGAATTAAATACTTTCATGTACAATATGTTGCAAAATGAGGTAGAAATGGTTACAGAGTGTACAAATATGATAATAATAATTAATAATAATAATAATAAGTCTTCAGGAGCCCAGGACCACTTTTTGGAGGAAGAGGAGGGGAAGGTGACTGCCCCCCCCCCCCGTTAATGCCCTTTGCACCCATGCACGTTCCAAAGGGAAAATGCACCAAAACAGTGGGAAACCATCCCAAAACTGGCCAATGCAATGGGGGGAGCATGTTCTGCATGTGCAGACCCTGAGGTTATGGGGGGGCTGCTCCGAGGTGGCCCCAGAGCAGTTGCACCCCCAGTACAATATAGAGCAATAGAAGAAAGTGATAAAATGAGGAGCTGGTTTAACTGGAGACAAGAAATGAACCCCCCCACCCTTGAGATGCAAAGGGGGGTCCATGGGGATGTGCAGTGGGGTCAGGCTCTGGGTGATGCATGGTGCGGTGGTTGGTCAGTGAGGGGGAACCCACACTCGGCCCAAACCCAGGACTGTTTTTGGGGGGGAACGTGGTTTCCTGCAACTCTGTGGTCACCACCAGCCTCTGTTGGGGCTTTTTGGTGCTTGGAGGATGGTGGGAAGCTAAAACCACCTTTGTTTGCCATGGAAAGGGAGCAGAAGCTCCCAACCTACGGCACGGACACTGCCCCTTGAGGACACGTTATCCACCAAACACTACGGGAACAATGGGAACCCAAGGAACTCAACTCATGGCATCAGAGATGTGAAAAGCACCCAAAATACATTCAACTTTGCTCTTTGTAACAGCTTCAAGTTTCTTTTTGTCTCTTCCTTTCTTCCTCCAGCCCTTTTGGAAGCAAATGCAATGAAGCAGCTTTGTCCAAGGTCTGAAAACTCTTTAAAAAGCTCTTTTCCTACCATAAAAAGAGGGTTTTAAACACATTCTTTTCTCTTTTTGTTGAGGTATTTCTTTTCCTGAGTAGTTCAAAAGCAAAAAACAAACCCAAAATCACTACATACCTTACAAAAATAAAAACCCAAGTCTAGGAGATCCATCTACAGCCTTTAACTCCGACACCCCCAGGTCTGTGGCTTTCCCCTCCCCATTCATTCCCTCCTGGATCACGGCTGCTGGTGCCATGGGCGAGGGGCTGCTCTGCTCAAGACGCCGGAGGTATTCCTGTTGGGAACAATCAGTCAAAGGGATATCAAAAGGAACGGTAAGAGTCAAGCTGTTGGGTAGCCGAGGCTGGAAAGGGGATGCGGAGGCGTCTCCAGCCTTCGCCATCCGTCTGCACCGGGGATGGATGGACGGGAATACAATAAATAGGTTATCCTGAGTTCAGTGGGCGCCGGAAAACCAAGGAGAGGAAAAGCCTGGCCAAGGCCAAAGGAGTCGGGGTGAGGTTTGGTTATGCAGAACCAGAGCCTCCCCAGACCCCAACGCAGCCCCCTCCAAGCGGTCCCAGTGCCTTGGGATGGGGCGAGGGGTCCATCCCGGTGCCCCGCGGCGTCAATGCCTGGTGCTGTACAGTTTATCCCATTCCAGGAACAAGTCCAGCTCCTTCTGGGAGGCAGCAGGGCGCACCTTGCAGAACGCCTTCTCCAGGTCCTGGTAGGAGAGGGGCTGGAGCTGGCCCTGCAGCCCGTGCAGCGCCGTGGCCCCGGCGCGCTGGCACAGCTGCACCAGCTCGCTGCCCGAGAAGCTCTCCGTGTGCTGCACCAGGGAGTTCATCTCCCGCTCGCTCAGGCAGCAGCTCTGCTGAGCCAGGGCGTGATGGAGGATCTGCCTCCGGGCGATGCTGTCCGGGGGGGGGATGTAGAAGCGCTTGGCGAAGCGCCGGTGCGAGGCTTCATCCATGCTGCCGGGCCGGGAGGTGGTCCCGATGACGACCACGTTCTGCTCCGATGAGGTAGAGACGTCGTCCAGGTAGGAGAGGAGCTGGGACTTGAGGCTGCTCACGTCCTCGCCGGCCCGGGCCAGCAGCAAGGCATCGGCCTCGGTGATGAGCACCACTGCGGGCTGCCGGCAGCTGGCCACGAAGAACACGGTCTGCAGGATCTTCTCAGCCTCGGCTTTCCAGGTGGAGAGCAGGGCTGTCCCGCTGAGCTTCAGCAAGGTGGAGCCCAGCTGCGTGGAGATGCAGCGGCTCAGCAGCGTCTTCCCCGTGCCGCGGGGACCAAAGAGCAGGATGGTCCGGGGCGGCCGTCCCCCCCCGGTGTAGGCACCGGGGCGCAGGATGGGCCACACCAGCTCCTCCTCAATGGTGGCCTTCACAGAGACCTGCCCGGCGATGTCCGTCCACTGCACGGGCGGCCCCCGCTCCACGATCTTGGTGTTCACCAGCTCCAAGAGCAAGGGGTCGACGTTCTTGGGCTGCTCCTCCACTGCTGCACTGCTGAAGAGCGGGGCTTTGGGGGGCAGCCGCAGTGGGAACGGGGGCCCCGGCTCAGCCGCCCGGTCCCCATTGGCGAGAGGCGCATCCCCGGTGCCGTAGGGCGGTGAGACCATGCCCTTCATGGGCTGCCCGCTGTACTTGCCGCTGTGCTCCTCGGCATTCCCGGCTCCCGACGGCCGCTTCCCGGGCTTGAAGGCCACCTGCGGGGACTCGGCGCTGCCACCGAACCCGTTGCCCCGGCACTCGCCGTTGTCTGACAGGGGGTAGGGGGACTTTGGCTGCTCGTAGCTGTATTTCCTATACCTGCCCTCCCCTTCATCCTCCTCAAACGCCTTCCTCTTCAGCGCGCCGGCCGCCTCGGTGCCAAGGGGGGGCACGGCCAGCGGGGCCAAGCCAGCGCCCTGGTACCCATAACCGGGGACACCGGGCGGGCGGGCAGCGGGCGGCGGTGCTGGGATCGGGGTGGGCGCCGCGATGCCGGAGGGCAGGTAGGAAGCCGAGGGATGGGGCGGGTGGATGCTCCCATAGCCCGGCTGCGGCGGGTAGCTGCCGGCTGTGTAGTTGTACATGGGGCCGGAGGAGCCATAGCCCGGCACCAGGGCAGGAGATGGGTGCGGGGGCTGCAGGAGCCCTGAGCCATGGAGGGCAGGGGGGTGCGGAGGGGGCAGCGCTGCCGCCGGCTGGGTGCAGTAGCCGGAGGGTAAATAGGTGCCGCCGTAACCTGAGGGGTACTCCTGAGATGATGCGATCCCGGCGGAGCCGGCGCCGGCTCCTCCGCAGGAGTTACTGGGATACATGGGATCGGCGAGGCTGGCGGGTACCACGGGGGAGCCGCCGAGCCCAATGGCCCCGCCGCTGGCAGGGGGCACCACCCCCTTGGTGCCGGGGAGCCCATCGTGGATGGGGGTCAGCGGGTAGGAGCCGTCGGAGCCGTGTGCCCCCGGCCAGGGCTCCCCATCCCCTTTCTGCCCATTCACCGGCCCGAAGGCTCCGTCCCCGTAGGCACCGAGCGCCGGGCGCTCGTAGGGCGCATCCAGCACCCCCGAGTACTTCTCGGCGTACCTCTTGAGGAGGTTGGAGGCCGTGAGCGCTGAGATGTCATCGTTGGCCCAGGCGTAGTTGAAGCGCTGGCGGGTGCTGGGGTAGAGGTCGGGTTTGTGGGCTGGGGACGAGGTGGTGGAGGAGACGTCGAGGTGCTGCTCCGGCCACTGGTTCAGGGACTGGGCATGCTCTGGTGACCAGTGCATCTTCAACAGACCTGCGAGGGACAGGAGAGTGCCGGTGACTGCGGGGACAGGGGTGAGCTCCAGAAACCGCCCTGGGACTGGGCCATGTCGTGGGATGGGTTGGGATGGAAAGGACCTTAAGGTCATCCAGTTCCATGGGCAGGGACGCCTTCCGCTAGGAGCAGCTTGCTCCAACCTGGCCTTGAACGCTGCCAGGGATGGAGCATCCAAACCTTCCCCGTTCAACCCATCCCAGTGCCCCAGCACCCTCATAGGGAAGAGCTTCCTTATCTCCAACCTGAACTCCCCCTGTTCCAGCCTGACCCCATCACCCCTTGTCCCATCGCTGGTCCCTCCCCAGCATCCTTGTACCCCGCTTCAGCCACTGGAAGCTGCTCCTCTCCAGCCCCAGTGTTCTCAGCCTGGCTCCTATGGGAGCTGCTCCAGCCCCTGCTCCCATCCCGGCTGTGAACGTGTCTCGATGCTCCCCATCACCCCCTTTTATGGACCCCCCCCATGCCCTAATGCCCAGCACCTCCAGGGACATCTGAAGCAGGAGCCAGGAGAGGACCTCGTGCTCCATCCATCGCCTCCCTCAGCCTTTAAGCCACTTTGTGGCCACCGCACAATTAGATTACTTAAGGCTTTAATTGACTTAGATGGCATTTGTGCTTCCACTTTGGATATCAAACTTCCACAAGAGGATTTCAACAGCGGCTTTCCAGGGCTTGAGCCGGCATCTCCCCTGCATTTACTGGCCATTATTAAAGTGCTCCCGTTAGATAAATGCTCAGCCTGCAGGAAAGGGCCCTTTTAACACACACAAAGGAGAACGTTGCCCATCCTGAGCCCGGACAGGATGGGCACAGAGGGATGGAAAGGGAGAAATGGGGCTTGGATGACTCCATAAGGAATAAGACTCCTTTTAAACATAGCTTTTTGTAAAGGGAGTGTTCCTGCTCTCCTTAGGGATGAAGGAGGTGCCAGGACCACGACCAGCAAATCCCAGCCCTCAATGGCAGCATCCACATCCTCATCCTCACCCATCCCTCCTGGAGAAAGGAGAACCCAAGGCCCTCTGTGACCCTCCTGTCCTGCATCAGGGAGCTTCTGAGGACACACACGCATTACAACAGGCTCTTCCCTAAGGAACACCCGGCTTTTCCCTGTGGCACAGATCGATACCAACACCCAAATCCCACTGCTCAGACACCAGAAGCCTGATGCTGGGAACTGCTTTCCTAAGAGCCAGCTGAAAGCATCACCACAGCCCCATCCCTGTGCCCTGTGAGGAGCAAGGGGATGCTTGGATCCAGAGCAAACCTGAGCGCGAAGCAAACCCGGCTCCATCCATCCCCTTTAAAGACGGGATGCGTTTGGGAAAGCAAAGCCAAAACCTCGGGAAAACCTGGAAGCACAGGCGGGGGGAGGGCTGTGGGCAGGGAGGACTTGTCATGGGCTTGAAATGGGATGTGAAAGAGGCGGCGGAGCGGGACAGATGTTTCAATGCTCCCCTTGGCAGTGTGAGAAAATGAGTGTCCAGTGACCAAATGGCCGGGCTGGTTCCCACCCTCGCTGCTGCCCATTATCCCTAGGGATAGGGGGACAAAGGCGGGCAGGGGGGGCTGGGCAGGGGAGAATCCCATTGTTCCCGCCCGCCCTAATTATGGAAATCTTGTTAATCTATTCAGCAGCGGCTCTGAGCCGGGCTTTTGTTCCGGGGCTGCGCGCCGAGGGTGTCCAACGGCTCCGCCATGGGATGGGGTGCGCTCCCTCCCGCTGGGGAGAGCGCGCCATGGGGGACTGCAGGCGATGGGGAACTGCCCCAGCAGCATCCCACTGCTGGTGCCTTTGTTGGAGCAGGGATCCAGCACCCCCAGCCCTTGGATGCAAAGCACCCCGTGGATTCCTGCTGCTCCCAGCCCCAGGTACGCACACAGAGGGGCTGGATGCATCCCGATGTCCCCTTGGACACCCTTTGCTGCTCTGCAGAAGCATCCCGAGTGGGATGCTGCTGCTGCGGGTGCAGGAACCTGCCCATGAGCTGCCTCCATGATGCTCTGCTCCTCCTGCCACTGTCTCCCTGGGTTAAATCCTCCTGCAGGGCTGCCAGCCTGGAGGATTTATGCCTTTTCCAAAGGACATTGAGCAGCTCCATTATCCCTGTAATGACCTGCGGCCTGATGCGATCCCTTCCCAAGGCAGGGAAAGCCATCCCTGTTCCAGGCTCTGCCTCCTGTGCTCCCAGGTATTCCAATGTGCAAACTTTGGGCTAAGAAAGAGTAAAGGATGCTGAGAGTCTCCATTCACAGCCCAGCCCTGAGTGTCCCCACAGCCCTGCTAACCTAAGGCTTCTCTTAGCATGGATGCTGTGTGAGATGGATCTTCTGCGCTGTGCCCAAGCCGAGGACATGGACCAACAGCACCAATGTAGCCTCACATCAATGCCACTCCTGCCCCAAAGCTGGATTAGCAGCACTGAATGGTCTGATCCATGGAGGATGCTCCAGGTCCTGCAGCAGCCTCAGCAATGTCCTCATGGCAGGAGAGAAGAGACCCAAGCAAGCAGAAGACAGTGGGAATGAGTTCTTCTTCTTTTAAATGAGGCATTTCCTGAAGATTTGCTCAGCTTCTGCCACGAGGAGCTTGTCCTGGGCTGCATCCATGCCTCCTATGAGCAGTGTGGGCAGGGTGGAACGGCATTGCCATCAGTCAGATCCCAGCCATACATCAGAATACTCCATTTACACTCACTGGGGCTTGGGGTAACACTTATGAAATACTTCAGCACCAATGCTGTAGATTACAGCAGCATTTGTGCACGCTGACACACACATGCAGCTGGATATGGGTCATCCCTAGTGAATCCCTACATGGTGGGTCCCAAATAGGCAGAAGAGCCTGGCAGTGATTCACATGGCTGGTGGAGCTGGTCCTAAAGCCAGGACTCGGGCAAAGCAAGCACAAAGCCGCTCTTAGCCAAGCTATAACCCAAGACCAATCCCTGGCAGCATTTGCAGGGGTTGGGATGTTTAAATCCCCCAGCCCGAGCCCGGAGCACAAACATCGAGTTTTCCAAGGCAAATCCATTGGGAAGCAGCATTTCTTTGTCCACCGCATTCCCCGTCCCCTCTGCGCCCGGGCCGACAAAGCGAGGATGGAATTGCAATCAGAGCAGGGCCAACGGACATATGTTAAAAGGATTTAGGCTATCTCCCACCCTGCCCTCTCCCAGCCCCCTGGAGGAGCAGCCTCAGCCCTGGCCGGAGCGATCCAAAGGCTCCGGTATCCGCTTTGTCCACCCATATATCAAGTGCAGAGCAGCTGGACACCAGCACAGCCGGCAGTGACCAACGGGCCCTCGTCCATCTGTGCTGCTTCGGCACCAGCCCAGCAGATGAGGCATCCATGGATGTGCTGAGCATCACCCATCTGTCACAGCGAGAGGGATGGGAATGTCACCAGGAGGGAGCGGTACCCAGCCTGGGAATGCCCAGATCCAGGGGATACGGCACTGAACCCCAGGGAGGATTCATAGCAAGCTGATGCGATGGGATGGGAGACGGATGGGAGGACAAGAAGCAATAAAGGGACCTAAAAATACAGTGACAAAGGAAAACAGCCTCCTTCTTACTGCAAGGATCCTCGGGGTGACACTCTAGCTGTGGTCTCCACCAGACCTGCTTGAAGGATGCTCCTCAGGTAGGAAGGAGGTTTTATAGCAAGATCATCACTGAGCATTCGAAGCACCCAAGAGCACCGCACCTCAAGGTCAACTCAAGGCACAGAGAAGGGTGCCATGGCCCATGGGTGCTGAGGATCTTCACCCAAATGCCATTCCTTGATGCTGGACGAGCTCCCCAGGGCCGGGGTTGGACCCAGAGGATTATATTGGAGAGGAAAATCCATTCCTCATCAGCAGAATCATCTCCCCAGCCAGACGTGGCCCCAGAGGAAGGCCAGGAGGTCAAATGGACCCTGTCTCCGTGCTCGTTTCCTTTTTCCAAGGAGGAAGCATTGCCATCACATCCCATCTTCCCACAAGCACTTGGATGAAGATGCAGCTCAGGAAGGGGCCCAAGGGACCGGGTACCCCCAAACCCTCTCATCCCAGGGTGTTTTCCCTGATGAAGCTCCAATAACAAACTCCCTTGGGAGAAGAAGCTGAGGCAGGAGCCACCATTCCCTGCTCTATCTTACCCCGTATGGGCTGGGGTCAGTGCCAAGGGCTGCAGCAGGGACATGATTTGCTCCATACACTGGACCCTGTCCACAGGGGCAGCAGCTCCAGCTCATCACCTCCATGGAATGAATCCATCTTCATTAACTCTGATTCCAGGGAGCCTCCCAGCCCCATCCAGCCCCATCCAGCCCCATCCAGCCCCACGCACTGGTTGCATTTTCCACCTCAGTGCTCTGAGATCCACAGGGAGCAAAACCTCCCCTCTGCCATCAATCCTGCAGCTCCATCCTTGCGGTCCCCACGTGTCCCTGTCACACACCCCGCGGGGTGGGGGACCCCATTCCCTGGGGAGCACCTTCCCCTGCCCTCGGGGCTGGGCTGGGGGAGGCCTCTCTCCATAGCCTTTGTTTTCCCAGCCTTTTGACTCCCGGATTCTTGCCTGAGCGGCCTGAAAAGCCGCGCTCCCTCCTGCATCCATTCACTAATGGGTTTTCCACCAGTCCCCCCGGTTTGGGCTCCTTTCTTCACTGCCCTCATCCACGCCTGAGCCTGCAGCAACCCTCTTCCAGGATGGGCTTTGGGCATCGTGCTCAGCTCCCACCGCCTGCACCCAGCGAGTCCGCACTGGTTCGTGGCTGTTGGAAGCCTGTTATAGCTATCATTATACACACACCCCAGCCTGCCCCTATGGGGCTGCTGCTCATAAACCCCAAGAGGTTAAGGAGGAACCCGGTGGGAGCAGCATTGGGCTGAAGGTACCAACGGGAAACAGGGAGAAGTTTGGAGCCGGGCAGGCTCCGTGTGCATCGATCGGGGCAGCGCCGCTCCTGCCTCCCGGAGCTAATCCTAGGGCAGGAATAATTCATCTTCCTCCCTCTCCAGCAGCACTCATTAAAAAGTAATCACCTTGGAGGGGATGAAGAGCCCAAGGTCAGCTCTGTGATGGAGTCATTCTGGAGCATGTACCTGGCTGTGACCACAGCCCTGCCCGTGCACACCCAGCACCTTCAGCCCCATGGCTGGCTTGGATGGGATCAAAATGCAACTGGGGAGACCCTGACACTCCCAGACACTCCCTTCTGGGAGCATCCAGGGCCGAGCACCCAGGTTGTTGTTCTCATTGACCCCAAGCACCCACAACAGAGCAGGGAATGTGGCACCTTGGTGCACTCTCAGGTTGCCATGAACCATCCCAGGCACCACGATCTTCCCATTGCCATTCCCAGGAGGAAGAGGAGAGGTCGCTCCAGCACAGCCATGTCCAGTAGAGCCCAACCTCACACTGGCATTTTAACCCACTGATGTTGGCCAATGCGTGGCCTTGTGCTCAGAGGAGATGCTCTGGGGATGGAGCACAGGGAACGGGAGGCAGGATGGGGCCGGTGATTCCAGCTCCGGTGATGCCAGAAGGGATAGGAAAACCCCTCCACTGAGCAGGGCTGGGCCAGTGCAGAGCACAGGGGACACCATGAGCAGGGATGCGCAGGATAAGCCCTTCAAAGCACACTCAACCTCTAACCTCCTGCATGCAGCACATCACCCCTGGCCTTTAATTACACATTGCTGCAGCCATTGGTCCTCTTGCCATCAATTACCCCCACGTTATCCTGCCCCGGGAGGCAGCGGGATGTGGGGAGCAGAGTCAAGTGCTCTGCTTGGAAAGGAACAAGAGGAACAGCCTCCGAGGGGATCACCCCTTTGCTGCAGCAGGGCTGAAGCAGCAGACAAAGCAGCAGGTTCCATGAGAGATTGATGACAGGGAGAGGACCTGGGCTCCAGCATCCCCCCGATGCCACGAGTCCCCCCCCAGCTCGGTGCTGCCGCTGCCCCTCTCATCTATTGACACAGCAAAGTCTTTGTGAGGAGCTGGCTCCTCTTCCGAGCGCGGCCGGGGCAGGGAAGGGGGACACTTATTCTGCTATTACTCACCTTGGGTTTTGTAGGCAAGACAAGTGCGGGTTAAAGTGCAATTTGCCTTGACATTAGTTTTCACTTTCTTAGGGGGAAAAAGGCAGAAAAAGTGGCCCTTTTCTCCGCTGAAAGAAAGCACTGGGTACCACAGCTCTACCAGATAAGCATCCCTCCAGGGAGCGCATCCCACCAGGGCGCGCATCCCTGCATCCCGGTGCAGCCCCGGGCAGCAGCACAGCATCCCTGTCATGAAATAAACATGATTGAGCTGCCTGTCCTCAGGAGAAAGGAGGCAGGAAGAAACCCCTTCATGTGCATCCTCCCCTGCTCTCGCTGTAATTCAGCTGCATCTGCGAGGCCTTGGCTGGGTTTATTGGGGCCCCCATAAAGATGAGGGCTTGCTGATAAGCGACCCCAGGCAGCAGCACTGGAGAAGCTGTGCTGGGGATCTGTACAATTTAACCAGCATTAACTTCAGCTGATGACAGGCCACAAGGCCAGGAGAGAGCTTTTAAAACACCCTCGTAACACAGCAAACTACACCTCGCTGCAGAGAGCCGGTGCTGCCTTCCAGCTCCTGCTTCTATCAGAGGAGAGCTGAGCCCCCGTGTGTGTGCAGCAGCATCCTCTGCTAACCAAGGGTCCATGGAGCAGAAGAACCAACAGGAAAATACACCCGAAGCAATCCCAGCAGTGGAGCCTGCAAGGGGATAAAGCTGGTTTCCAGAACTGGGAATTGCCAGGGCTGGCACTGGGAAGAACTGGTTTAGTGGTGGACTTGACAGACCTGGGGTAAAGGTTGGACTTGATGATCTTAAAGGTCTTTTCCAACCGGGTTGATTCTGTGATAGGATTCTATGATTCCCTGCTGGCTGATGATCCAGGAATGGGAATTTCCCTGCTTAACTCTGGCTTAGTCCCAACAGCTCCCTTTAATCAGGACACTGGCACGTGTGTCCCATGGGATGAGAGGGCAATGACACACAAGGGACCAGCAGCACCATGTTAACCAGCACACCCATTAACCAGCAGAGGAAGGCAGTAAATGAGATGCCGGGAGCCTCCAGTTTTCCTGCACGCTGCCAAATTCCAGCTGACGTTTGGCCAGATGCGCCGGGATCTGCCCCGGGATGACAAAAGGAGCCTCCCCGGCAGCCCGTGTCCAAGGGCAAAGCTCCGCTTCCAGCCATGGAATCACTGGAGCTCAAACCCTGGAACTGAAAAGTGTTTACAATGGCATCAAGGCAAGGGTCAGCGTGGTGCAAGGGTCACTATCGCTTCTCCAGATGCATTAATGTCATTCCCTTTAGGAATCCTCGCTCCAATCGGGTGCTCCTGCATCTGCTGCCGTAAGCCATGGATTGAGGGATTCCTCCTTCCCTACACGCGACCCATCTCCTTCCAGATGAAAACTGGGAGGTGCAGAATCCCCAAACCAGTCCAGAGGCAGAGACAGAAAGGAAGAAAGGAAAATACTGGGCTGTTTGCAGGAAAACCTGGAGGCGGCATTCCCATCCCGAGGGAACAGCTCCTCCATTAATACAAATCAAGTCCACAGCAAACTGCAGACACAGCACACACTCCCCAACTCCTTCCAGCACTTATTTAAATGATGGAGGATGATTCTGCCCTCACGGAGGTGATGCTGATGCTGTGCCACACGGAATCGCTTCATTCCTTCTCATCCCATGGGATGCAACACTGGCTGTGGAGGCAAATGCTCCCGGAGGCTTTTGTGTTTACCTTTTCCAAGGGGGAAGGAGGAGTGGGTGAAGTGACCTGGTGGCCACTCCCTTGGCCTAAGGTTAGGCCCTTGCTTCTGTGTTTGGGCACCCAACATAACAGCGGCTACTGAATTCCCTGAGAGCAGAGGATGGATGCGGGATGAGGGACAGATTTGGGAAAACCACAGCTCCTGTTTGCATCAGGCTGTACAAGCACGGGAAGCGGCATCAGGATCATCTCCTCCTCATCGTCCTCCCCATAGGAAGGCGATGGGAGCCTCAGCAGCACTGGGGGAGAAGCCCATTGCCAGCCAAGGGGGTGAATCCATGACCGCAGACAGGCTGCTTGCTTCAGCTGCTGTGTCCCACGGTCCACAGCATCCAGGGAAACCCACTCGGGAAGATTTCCCAGTGCTTATTCCCCGTTTCACTGCAGGGAATGAGCTCTGTGGGACACAAGAGAGGTTTGGGTGAGGAACACCGAACCCAAGATGTTGTTAAAGCCCCAACCCAGACCTCAGAAGGGAGAAGAAAGGCCCCGAGAAAGGGAGGGAGGAGAAAACAGGGGCTCCTGATAAGCAATTGTTAACATGCTCCATATGGGACACAACTTGCCTCTCTGTTTAACCCAAATGATAATGGCTAAAGGGAAGAATGCGGCGGGAGAACAAAGGCGGCTGCGAAACCCATCCCTGCTCCCGAGAAACCCAATTGTGAGCAGGGAGAGCCCCCGGCTGCTCCTTCTGCTCCCTGGGAGCTTTGCACCTCCAACCGGGAGCGGGGGGGGGGGATACTGGAGCCGTCAGCAAGGAACCAACCCCATAAGAATGAGCAGGGCCATTCCCGTGAGCAATAATAAACTTCCACAGGAGCAGCACTGATGTAAACACGGAGCCCGCTCCTCTCGGAGCTGGGATGGGTTCAGCCCTGGGTGTTTATGTTATTGTGGGATCCCGCAGCTTTCCGAGGAGCACAATGCACTCCGTGCCATTCATTATCCCCCACGAGAAAATGTCAACACTCTTGTGCTAAAGAGAGCTAAACCAAATGTTTAACGGGATAAACAAGCCCCGGGCCTCAGATCCCGCTGGAATGTTGCGTTCAGAACCACCTCCCAGAGCAAACAGGCGCCGGAGCATCCAGGAGCAGCAGAACCCGGAGCCCTGTCATTGCCGGAGCAGCCACCAGCGCCCAGGCAGCCCCCGTGGGGAGGAATCCAGGGGGAAACCTTGGCAATTCCCATGCACGGGATGAGGAAATCAACCCCAAGCCGTTATCAGTGCATTCAAAGGAAACACCACGCGCGCTCGAGGTCTCTCATCATTTCAGTTCAGCACGTCCAAAAGCCCTGAAATCTGCCACAAAACCAGCATCCAATCAATGGTAATGCTAATTTTTGTGAAACTTGGAACGCTGTAAACCAGCCTCCAAACCCGGGGGTTTTCATGCTGGAACGCGCAGGATAAAGCTGGTTTAAACCCTTTCTCTTCCCAAAGCCCCTCGTTACAAGATGCCATCAGCTCCTCCGCGCCACGACCGCTTTGGAGGCGAACGAACGCTCCAGCGTGCGCTTGACGTGCGGCAGCGGCCGGGGGGAGCGCGCATTGTTCCTGGATGGAGGGGGCGATGGAGGGGTGGAAAGAGGAAAGGAGGGACGGGAGGAGGGATGCGTGGATGGGATGGACGGAGGGGGCGTCCCTATCGGCCGTGCGCACCCCTCCGGCCGCGGGGGCCGGCTCCAGGCGCTCCCATGTCATGAGCACGTTAGCGCGGAGCCCCCGCAGCCCTCCCGGGATGCCCCGTTCTGTTGCGTTACCGGGGCTGCGTTACCGGGGCTGGGTGCCCGCAGCCCCCCGCGGCCCTTCCCCAGACCCGGCTCTGGGGCTGCCCCGGTCCCCCCCCTTCCCCGGTCCCGCTCCCTGCGCGCCCCGGCCCCGCTCACCTCCTCATGCCGGCGGGCCCTAGCGCAGCCCGGCGGCGGGCGGCCGTGCGGGGCGCCGCATCCTCCCGCTGCCGCCCGGACAATGCGGGGCGGCCCGCGGGCGGCGGGGGCTGGGGCCGGCGCTGGGGCTGGGGCCGGCGCTGGGCTGGGGCTGGGGCTGGGGCTGGGGCTGGAGCTGGGGCCGGGGCCGGGGCCGGGGCCGGTCCCCGCCCGCCGCCCATGTCCCGCCCCTGCGCCGCTGCGGAGTGGGGCGCGGGGCGGAGCGGGGCGCGGGGCGGAGCGGAGCGGAGAGGAGAGGAGCGGGTCCTCGGCCGGGAGCAGGGATGGGGCTGGCAAAGGCTCCGCTCCGGCCCCGCTGCCTGCCCGGCACAAAGGCGGAGCGGGAGAGAGGGCGGCCGAGAGCCCGGCACCCCGAGCCCCTGCACCCCAGCATCCCTGCACCCCAACCCCTGCACCCCAGCATCCTAGCATCCCTGCAAGCCAGCATCCCAGCACCCATGCACCCCAACCCCTGCACCCCAGCATCTCTGCACCCCAGCATCCTAGCATCTCTGCACCCGAGCATCCTAGCATCCCTGCACTCGAACCCCTGCACCCCAGCATCCCAGCATCCTAGCACCCCAGCATCCCAGCACCTCAGCATCCCAGCACCCATGCACCCTGAACCCCTGCACCCCAGCATCCCAGCACCCACGCACCCTGACTCCCAGCATCCCAGCACCCACGTGCTCCATGGCACCCTGATTCCACAGTACCCTTGCCCCCCAGCCTCATGCACCCTGTACTCCAGCTCCTCAGCATCCTGAGCCCTGCACCCCAGCTCCAGTCCTGCCTGTACCCCCAAGGACCCTTTTGAAGCCCATGGGCTGGGTCCTCAGCTGCTGAAGTGCTCGGAGGAATCCCAAATACCTGAAATACTTTCCTACTATTAGTTTACCGTGCAAAAATAAACCATTTGCCCCAAGGATACGGTGTCGATGGGAGGTGGCCACAGCACAGCCCATTTACTGTGGCACTGGGCCATGCGCTCCCTTCTCTGCGCCCCAAAATTCACCTTCTTGGGGTGGGATTGAACCAGGAGCACCCAGCAGCCGCCTCCCCTTCACTCTCCAAAGCCCCACTTCATGCTGTTTACCCAGCTCAGGCTCTTCCCTGCTGTAATCACATCACGGCCCTATTTGCCTCGCACAAATGTTGTCATTCCCTCAGGGATTAGGGAATATTTTCCTTTGCAGGAGCAGGCGAGCATTGCCTGGACTAGGGCAGACATTGGAGCTGAAGGGATCCTCTGCCTGATCCCAGCCAGATCCAGGGGTGATGCAGGATCTGGAGGTTCCCAGTTTATTCCCATCAGTATATTTGTTATCAGCAGAAAATGCCTCAAAACTCACCCCCCCACCACCTCCCCATCACTGGTATTCCCTGGAAACCTGGCGCTCCAGGAGGAGCATCCAGGGCTTTTCTACATTCAACAGGAAAAGGCATTCAGCTTCTTGCTGCATCCTTGCATGAGTCCCTTTTCTCCATCCACCAGCAGAGGAAGCATCCCAAATGACAGCACCAGGAATGAGTTTTGTGTGTAGGATTGCAGGAAAACACCAAAAACCAGCAAATCCCAGTGGGATGCACCAGGACCTGCCCCACGCTCCCAATGTCCCAGCATGGCTCATCCAAAGGCAGCTCCAGCTCCGGCTGAGCCTCCTGGTTGTCTCATGGCAGGTCTGGAATGATGCCACCACCTTCCCCATCCCTGCCCATATCCCAGCCACATCCCCTGTGACACAGCGGGATGCCAACCATCCACCTCAACCACATCAGTTAGGTTGGCCACGGTCACCTATGGGCCTCCAGGGCTGGGACATTGCAGCTTCGCAGGCCCAGGGCTGTGTGTATCTGGGTGCTGCCATCCTAAACCCGGTATCTAAGGATGCTAATCCCAGGCAGCTGTAAACCGAGGCTGGCATTCCCGTTTCAGTGGGTATAAGCTGCCTTTTATTGCAGTGGGAATCCGGATTCCTCCCTGCTTGCTGAGGTCACCCCCCCTCATTAGCCAAGGAAAGGCTGGATGGAGCTGCGGGGTCAGAGCCCTTCTTTTCACCAATCACTGCCCGTGGTTCCTCTCCTCTAAAGTCCGACCTCGTTACTTGTGCCGCGGGTTGATCCGCGATGGAACCCATCAGCGGAGATCCGTGCTGACACCTCCTCCTGCAGCCCACGGGGGTTTCCCTTCTCCCGCCGGGAAGCCGGAATTCCAGAGCTCTCAGTGGGGTTTGAGGCCAAACCAGGATCATCCGAGGGCTGGGGGCTTTGGCCATGTGAGGCTGATGCTGGTTCATGGAGGGGTGAGAGCTCCCTGCCCCGGCTTGGGCTGTGGGAGCAGATGTGAGAGCAGGGCTGAGGCACTCAGAGCGCCCAGCGCCGAGCCAGGGGCGTTAATTGAAGAGGTCTCTAATTATTTAATGTCCCTTTTCCCTCGGGATTGGGGAGAGCTGGAAATTCCAGCTACAAAGGGCTTGAAATCTGGCCATGAATCCACGAGAGGCTGAGCTTAAGCGGCTCATCCCTGTGCGGTGGGATGGGGTTGGAAGGGGATGTGATGGGGATGTGATGCTGGACCAGGACCTGCCTTGCTGCTCTGTTTCAGCTCATTTCAGGTCTTAAAACCCAGCACACCAACAGTTTATGGCCTCGTGGCGCTGGCTGCATCCCAGGGAATCATATTGGGATGAAGAGTGTTATAGGGAGACCTGAATCCCAGCCCCACTTTGCCAGCACAGCAGTAACAGAGAGCCCACATCATGCTCGGAGCAGAGAGCTGGGGGGATCCCGGGAAAGCAGCAGCTCTCCAGCACAGGGATCCCTCACTGGGATGTGTGGGAAGCACACGGCTGCTTCCAGGGGCCTCAGATGCACGGATCCCCCTGGAAGCCCCATGCACAGGGATAAACCCCGCAGGCAGAGCGGATTATCCTGCTGGAACACGCTGCTGCCTCCGTGTCAGGGAGCAATTGCCCTGGGGCTGAGCACTTAACTCTTCACACCTCCCAAAGCAGTAAAACCTGCGGCATCGGGACAGGACTCCTGCAAACCCTGGGCTTGATCCCGCCTGGACCAAGGGGTCCATGGAGAGGGGTTTGGACAAAGGGATGCAGGGACAGGCCAAGGGGAATGGCTTGAACCTGCCAGAGGGGAGACTGAGATGCGCTCTGAGGCAGAAGCTCTTCCCTGTGAGGGTGCTGAAGACATGGACTGGGTTGAATGGAGAAGCTGCGAGCATCAAGCCTGCCGCTGTGGGTGGAGACCAGTTGTGCCAGTATAACCAGTTACAGAAGCTGGGTATAGGCCAGGTCTAATGGAGTCCTCCCTAGGTGTTAGGAAGCACAGAGCAGTGGGACACAGTGGGGAGTGGGGAGGAGCTGGGCCATCTTCCCAGGCTCCCTCATGCAGGCAGACAGCCATCAATCTCCAGGTTGTTCTATAGCACCGTGCCCGAGCCTGATTTATGCCTTACAAGGCTCGAGCTATTTTCATTTGTCTGATTTATGAACATTCCATCAAATCACAGAGAGCTCCTGATTTATGGGCACTGGATCCTCGCTGCTCCCAGGATTCGGGGGTACCTGCCCCGGGTGACAAGAGCAGAAGCGCAGCATCCCCTAAGAGGGAACGTGAGCTCTTGGGTCCTTCAGCCTCCAGAAACTGCCTCTTGGAGGGGGTTTCCTCCTTATAAAGAGCTTGAACTGCATTTCTGGAGGAGAGGATGCTTGTGAATAAGCAGTGGTTGGGGAAGAGCTCGTGTGGCACAAGCCTTACTCTCGGTTGCGGCGCTGAATTGTCACATGTGAACGATCTAAGTGGCACCAGTGGAGCCTCTGGGTTCAGTAACTGCAGCCGCTGGGCCTGGGACCCCCCCTCAGCCTCTGCTGAGAGCACAAAAGGAGTTTAACAGCTTCATCTCCCACATCTGGTTGTGCTTAAAGCCTGTGTAGTTAATAGGGCTTGTTCCAGCCCAGCGCAAGCAGAAGGCTGGAGCCAGGGGCTGCATCCCCCATCGCGAGCATCCCAAACCCACCTCCTCCTCCCATCGAGAGGTGAAGTTGCCTCCATTCCCTTCCCTATTTCCCCCTATGGGAGGACAGAACTCCAGGCCAGCTGCTTTGCCCCCCACCATGGTGGAGAAAGGGAAGGAGAAGTGGTCCCCACTTTGCCAAAGGGGAGCAGCACAACAGGCGAGCCCTGAGCCCCAGAGCATCACCCCCAGCACAGGGACCCCGTTCACTGTGCAGAGATGGAGAGGGCAGAGGCTCCATCGGCAGCTTTATTTACCTCAAGTGGCTCCCGGGGATAAGCAGCAGCCCCAGCATCCTGCTCCATCCTGAGGAGGGTCCTCGTGGGCTTATCTGTGCTGGGGGCAGGGGAAGGCAGCAGGGAGAGGGCTTCAGGAGCTCTTTGTTCAGCCCGTTTGTGTAGGAACCGTAATTCAGGCCTAAAATCTCCCCCCAGGGCAAACATGGCCCTTAATTAAAATATAAATCAAAGGGCCATGGCTATGAGGATGCTTTGGGGATGCGGCCACTGCCGCTTGGTCCATGGGTCCAGCCACGGCTCCAGCTATGTCCTAGTCATGGGTCCAGCCCTGTTCTAGCCACGTGTCCACCCCTGGGTCCATCTCTGGGTCCATCCCTGGGGTTTAATCCCCCTGAACGCCTGATTTAACAACAGCAGCCACAGAACCGGGGCCGCGCTCCGGGTGCACAAAGGGAAAAGATTTATCTTGAGAGGCTAAATCCACTTAGAGGAGCTTTAGGGGCCATAAATTGATTGCTCAGGGGACACGGCAACAGGAAACAGCTCCACATTCACTGAGCTCGCTGTGTTCTTGCTGCATCACGAGCAGGCGTTCGGGCTGGGAGCTGCAATCAAAGCCCATGTGCATGGGGTGGGATTAGAAGGAAGCAGCAGGACCCTTTGCAAAGGGGGATCCGGGATCCCTGTGGCAGCTCCATCCATGCTGTCAGCCATCACCAAGGTAAGATGTGAAAGGAAACCCTCATCCAAGGCAGGGAAGATCAGAGCTCTCCCAGCAGCTTTCTGCATCCCAGGTCCGCTGCCAGCATCCCAGCGTCCC